ATATAATCCAATAAAATTTATTAAAAAAATATTATGGGTATCGAATGTATAGGTTTGACATTGGCTGCTAGGGAAAGTGTGACTATCCTCTTAGTTTATCGGGCCCCTGGAGCCCCGAACAAGAGCATCCCCAAGTTATTAGACCTTGTGGCAGACTGGGCCCTGAAGTTCCCAAGTCTCATCGTATTGGGAGACTTCAATGTACATGCAGATAGGTTGTTGTCTTCTCCGATAGCAAGGGACCTATTACAATTTATGGAAACAATAGACTTCTCATTAATGGTGACTGGTCCTACTCATTGAGCTGGGCACACCTTGGACTTGATTTTTAGTATCAGAATACAAGTGACTCTATCTTCAGTCTTAGAGATTCCTTGGTCTGACCACTACATCCTAAACACTCAAATAGATTCCACCACCACAGCGTCCGGAGACTGAACAAATTTTTGTGCGGCCGAGGAAGCTGATGGATTCTACTAGACTTTCGAGTGTCCTTAAAGAACTGGATTACACCGCTGATTCTCTAGGTGGACGAGTAGAAAACTGGAACAAAAATCTATCAACTGCCTTAGATATAGTTGCCTCTAAATGGGCTCTTTACCCTCGCCGGAATAGATCTCCGTGGTTCACGAATGCATTACGTCAGATGAAACTTGAGCGGAAGAGATTAGAACGTAAATGGCGCAAGAAACCCGATGAAACATCAAAATCGGCCTTTGAAATACATCATAAAATCTACGAAGCAGCCACCAGAGAGGCCAAAAAAGAATATAATTCCTCATAGATAGCATCCGCCAGATCTCGACCTGCTAAAATATTTAAAATTGTTTGTAACATCACAAATCCAACCCATCTGGCCAAAGATGTGCTAGTCAAGATATTACAGCAGAGACCTTCCAGAGCCACTTTATAAATAAGATCAATCTGCTCCGCGAAGGGCTGCCTCCCACAGAAGACACATCGAGGGAACTAGAGGCCTTCTGGCCATCTAGTGGTCAACTTCTAGAACATTTTGTGCCATTAGAAATGGAAGACCTGGAAAAGACTCTAGCTGCAGCAAGACCAACCACCTGCTCCCTCGATCCTTGCCCCTCCCGGTTAAGGAGTGCTGGGAGGGACTGCGAGATCCCTTAAAGAGCATCATCAACAGTTCCTTGGAGCAAGGAATTTTTCCAGATTGGAGAGGTCAGGGCCCAAACCTATAAATCAGTTATTGCAAAGAATCTGGGCTATATTACAGGTAAAACCGTTGAGATACAGGTGGTTTGTTTTTGCTTTTTTGGATGAAAACCCTGTGGGAGATATAAGCTCACGCCTCTCTCAAAGCAAGTAACAAAACAAAAATGGTAAAAACCTGCAGCAAAGAATTTCAGCTTTCGTTTCCTTCTGTATTCTAAATAATTGCTTTTAAAACTGTGGGTCTTGATCTCAATGCTGGGGGTCATGAAAAAAAATTGGAAATAGTAAAATGTTTCTGAATGCCACCTAGGCATTTACACAAATCTGTTAACAAGGTGTAGTGTTTTACAGTAAACTCTTCAGCTGTTCTCCATAAAGAAAATCACCCTGTTTGGCAAGCCATACAAATGATTATATGTTTGATTTTCATACATGTTCTATACACTTGTATAGTCAGGGTCATGTAAAAAATCTCTCAGGAGGAAGGGGTCTGTGCATCACAAACATTTAAGAATCCCTGTTCTAAACCAAAAGCATGTTGTACCCAATATAACAATTGAGATACACAGCAAATGGAGCATACCAGTGTTAAAATGAGCTGTCCTTTAGGCCAGTGGTTCTCAACCGTCTTAATGCCGTGACCCCTTAATACCCCATTTTGAGGTGACCCCCAACCATAACATTATTTTCGGTGCTACTTCATAACTGTAATTTTGGCTACTGTTTTGAATCATAGAATGATAGAATTGGAAAAGACCTCATGGGCCATCCAGTCCAACTCCCTGACAAGAAGCAGGAAAATTGCATTCAAAGCACACCTGACAGATGGCCATCCAGCCTCTGTTTAAAATGTAATGTAAATATCTGATATTCAGAATGTATTTTCATTCACCGGACAAAACTTGGCACAAATACCCGATACGTCCAAATCTGAATAATGATGGGGCTGGGGGCTGGATTGATTTTATCATTTGGGAGGTATAGTTGTTGGGATTTATAGTTAACTTGCAATCAAAAAGCATTCTGAACTCCACCAATGGAATTGAACCAAACTTGGCACCCAGAACTCCCATGACCAATTAAAAAAAACTGGAAGGGTTTGGTGGGCATTAACCTTGAGTTTTTTGGAGTTGAAGTTCACCTACATCCAGAGATCACTGTGGACTCAAAACAATGATGGATCTGGACCAAACTTGGCACGAATGCTCAATATGCCCAAATGTGAACACTGGTGGAGTTTGGGGAAAACAGACCTTGACATTTGGGAGTTGTAATTGTTGGGATTTATAGTTCACCCACAATGAAATAGCATTCTGAACCCCGATAGAATTGACCAAACTTTCCACACAGAACCACCATGACTAACTGAAAATACTGTTTTCTGATGGTTTTTGGCAACCCCTCTGACACCCCCTCACGACTCCCACGGGGGTCCCGACCCCCAGGTTGAGAAACACTGCTTTAGGCTGAGGGCAATGAATTGAGCACTAGGTGTTCAGCCTAGTCGCATATTTCTCATTCTGATGGCATTTCTGTTCCATTAACTGACAATGAGAATAGCTTTGATGTTCTGATGCAGTATATAAGTTTCTGATTTTTCTGGGAACTCCTCCCTAATCCCATTCTTCCCACTGGGACTATTCCTTAATATTGGATTTCATATTTTTAAAAACTGTACCAATCTGTGGATCTTCCAGATATATAAACCTCCCTTGGTTAGTTTCCAATATGCCTCAAAATCTTTGAGGATGCTTTTGGAACATTGCCATACAGTCCAGAAAACTCATAGCAACACAGCGATTCCAGCCATTAAAGCTTTTGACAACTTTTGTTTACTTTCATAGCTTCCAAGAACTGATACAGTAGAAGTTAAATTTCAGGAATATATAGGACTACACATTGGGAAAGGAGCAGTTTCTAAAACTGGGGCCATGCTGGATTAGGTTCTTGTTAGAATACTAGCATTACACGTCGGATTGTTAGAATACTAGCATTACACATCTATTTGATTATAGAAGTTCTTATAGGTGTCTGCCTTTTGTCTTCTGAGGCTTTTTTATGCCCAACTTAAGTTTGGTGAAAACAAACTTAGGCTTTTTGTGGTAGCTGATCTCACACTAAAACTCCCTTCAGATTAGAAAACCTTATGAGCCATTGCTATCCTTTGCTAAACAGGTGGGTTTGTTTGCTTTAGTTGACCTTTCTTGATTCATTGCTCTCAGGTGGAAGACTTATTTATAACATACATTGTTTGCTCCTGTTGAGCATCATTTTGATTGCCATGCTCTGTACTGCATTTAATTGCAATGCTAGATTTTAATGACAAACTCCTGGCTACACATACTTTAAAATGAAATAAGCTAACGCCCAGAATGAGTAAAAAAAACTTTCAAGTGAAGTTCAACAGTTCAAACTTCAACAAAATGAAGTTCAACAGTGACAAATGCATAATACTCCACTTTGGCAGGAAAAACGAAATGCAAAGATACAAAATGGGGGATGCCTGGCTCGAGAGCAGTACGTGTGAAAATGATCTTGGAGTCCTCGTGGACACCAAGTTAAACATGAGCCAAAAATGTGATGTGGCGGCAAAAAAAGCCAATGGGATTTTGGCCTGCATCAATAGGAGCATAGTGTCTAGATCTAGGGAAGTAATGCTACCCCTCTATTCCGCTTTGGTTAGACCACACCTGGAATATTGTGTCCAATTCTGGGCACCACAACTCAAGAGAGATATTGACAAGCTGGAATGTGTCCAGAGGAGGGCGACTAAAATGATCAAGGGTCTGGAGAACAAGCCCTATGAGGAGCGGCTTAAGGAGCTGGGCATGTTTAGCCTAAAGAAGAGAAGGCTGAGAGGAGATATGATAGCCATGTATAAATATGTGAGAGGAAGCCACAGGGAGGAGGGAGCAAGCTTGTTTTCTGCTTCCTTGGAGACTAGGCCGCGGAACAATGGCTTCAAACTACAAGAGAGGAGATTCCATCTGAACAAGAGGAAGAACTTTCTGACTGTGAGAGCTGTTCAGCAGTGGAATTCTCTCCCCGGAGTGTGGTGGAGGCTCCTTCTTTGGAAGCTTTTAAACAGAGGCTGGATGGCCATCTGTCCGGGGTGATTTGAATGCAATATTCCTGCTTCTTGGCAGGGGGTTGGACTGGATGGCTCATGAGGTCTCTGCCCATGAGGTCTCTTCCAACTCTTTGATTCTATGATTCTAAGTATAAATGAATGCAGCAGAATTCCTTTTTAAAAGATTAATACTGAATTAAGTTTAAAAAAATGTTTGGCCTTTGCTCCCTAACGTCTTCACTCATTCCTCTATTAAAATATATCAAGATCTTTACTGGACGGCTTCCCGCAGGCCAAACAGGCCTGAAATATCCTCAGCCCTAAATAACCCACACCAACCCTCTTTGAGAAACCAACGCGAAATGGCTTCGCCCGCCAAAGGCGAAGCTTAAATATCAGTCCCGCTGACATGCGCAGTTAGAACGGCCCCGCCCACTCCCTCTGCTCTCGCGCGCTCTCTCCCGCACGCACGTGGAAGCGAGCACCAATAGGATTAGAGCAGAGAGAAACATAGATGCATACGTTTAGTTTCCAAGAATTGCAGTTCCTAAAATAACCAAATGTAGGAAGAGAGTTCTGTTTTTTTAAAAAGGATGAAAGCAAGCTAAATTTTACAGTTCTGAGACAAATGCATGAAAGGACACTCTATGCACATGGGGTAGGGCTGGATGCCCTTTGGGACCTCTTCTCCCCGCTTTGTATGACTCTATTGGAATGGCTCCTCTCCTTCGGCGCATGCGCAGTGCAGCCCCGCAAGCGCGCGGTGTCCCGGATGTAGCGTTCCCGAGCGGAGTCTATGTGAGCCCGCCAGAAGACCCAAGTCTGCGCGAGCGAGCGAGCGAGGGAGGGAGGAAAAGCCGCCGCCATGACTTCCGCGCTGGAGAACTACATCAACCGTATCCTTCAGCGTGAGAAGCAATAGGGGAGGCTGGGGCGAAAGGTTGGGCCAAGAAGGAAGGTCTGTGGGAACCGGCGCTTCCTTCCCGTCGGCTCTCAAAGGGCTCGCGAGGGAGGGAGGGAGGGAGGAGTTGGGCTGCCTCTGATTGGACGCTCGCGGGTTTACAAGCAGACGGGAAGTGAAGAGGGGGAAAATGAGAAGAAAGCACTGTCAATGAGCTGCGTTCTGGGCTTTAGAGGGAGTGGGTTGGGTCTCGCTTTCTGAAGGGGAGGCTTGTTTGTATTTGGCTAAAAGCCTCAAGTGAGTCTGTTAGAATTACCACGACTTGTGTGTATATATATTACATACTAGGCGTCCCCTGCCACGCGTTGCTGTGGCCGACATAGGGGTTCTGTGTGGGAGGTTTGGCCCAATTCTATAGTTGGTGGGGTTCAGAAAGCTTTGTGATTGTAGGTGAACTATAAATCCCAGCAACAACAACTCACAAATGTCAAGATTCTATTTTCCCCAAACTCCAACAGTCACATTTGCGCATATTGAGTATTTGTGCCAAGTTTGGTCCAGATCCATCATTGTTTGAGTCCACAGTGATCTCTGGATGTAAGTGAACTACAACTCCAAAACCAAAGGACACTTCCCACCAAACCCTTCCAGTATTTTCTGTTGGTCATGGGAGAACTGTGTGCCAAGTTTGGTTCAATTCCATCGTTGGTGGGGTTCAGAATGCTCTTTGATTGTAGGTGAACTATAAATCCCAGCAATTACCACTCCAAAGTGACAAAATCAATTTTTTTGAGTGAAGGACATACATTGGGTTGTTAAGTGTCTTGTGTCCAAATTTGGTGTCAATTCGTCCAGTGGTTTTTGAGTTCTATTAATCCCACAAATGAACATTACATTTCTATTTATATAGATAGATATACACATAAATACATTAAATCAGGAGTCCGCAAACCTTTTAAACAGAGGGTCAAGTCACAGTCCTCAAACTGTTGGAGGGCTAGATTATAATTTGGGGAAAAAAACATGAATGAATTCCTATGCACCCTGCACATATCTTATTTGTAGTGCAAAAAACATCTAAGAACAATACAATAATTGGTAATTATATGAAAGCTGGGTCCGGAAGCTCTGAGCGTTACGCTGTTTCCCCTTCACCCCTTTGGGAGCACTGTTTGCGCAAAGCAGAACAGAACACAAATAACCGAACCTTAACCCTAAGCCTAACCCCTAAACCTAACCCTAACCCTCCCCCTCCTTTCTATCCCTTCACCAAATGCAGCTACGACGTATATTCCCTTATTCACAACCACCGTTGCAGAATTTGCATAACGCTCAGTGCTTCAGGACCCAGTTATCATACTATCACCCAATAATTAAAATGAAGAACAATTTTAAGAAGTATAAACTTACTAGTATTTCAGTGGGAAGTGTGGGCCTGCTTTTCGCTGATGAGATAGGATTGTTGTTGTTGTGTACTTTCAAGTAGTTTCAGACTTAGGTTGACCCTGAGCGAGGGCCGGGTAAATGACCTTGGAGGGCCATAGTTTGAGGACCCCTGCATTAAACATATTGTGCATTAACAGCCAAAAGAAATGGGCCTTGTCAAAGGTGTACAATCTAAAGCAGGCATGGACAAAACTTGGGCCCTCCAGGTGTTTTGGACTTCAACTCCCGCAATTCCAAACCTCAGGCCCCTTCCTTTCCTCCCTCTCCAAGAAGGCCCTGTCTCGTCCCCACCAGTCGCACCTGCGAGGGCGATGGGATTTAGAACAGGGCACTCCCAGATGATCTTAACCTCCCAAGATGGTTCATAAGGGGAGATATGTTCAGACAGGTAAGCTGGGCCGGAACCGTTTAGGGCTTTATAGGCTAAAGACAGCACTTTGAATTGTGCTTGGTAGCAGACTGACAGCCAGTGGAGCTGTCGCTATAAGAGGGATGTCCTCTCTCAGTACTGTTCCAGTGAGCCGCCCGTTGGACTACTTGAAACTTCCGAACAGTCTTCAAAGGCAACCCCATATAGAGCATGTTGCAGTAGTCTATTCAGGATGTAGCAAGAGCATGGACTAACGAATTAAGCTTGATTTCTTGAAAGATGCTGCAATACAAGATTAGGCAGAGCAAATGCGTCTGTTCCTTTCTTGTAGTTGTTCTTTAACTTGAGCCCCAGGTACTGTTGCTGTAATTACTTCAGATGGCCGAATGATTGTGGTAAGAATTCACATCAAATCTAAATATTCTTTCGTAGAGCTGTTCATTTAGAGTAGCCATCCATACAAGAAATAGCTGTCGGAAAAATCTTATATATCACTTATGGAAGACATGTAGGAGTAGCAAACTTTAAGTTCTAGAGAGGATGAACCTGTTTCTATGCAAAACATTTTCATGATACCTTCATTTGACAATGCCAGTTGTCTGTTCCCCCTGCAAATTAGTGTTCATTGTGTTCTATTCTTTAAAACTGTAAGGTTCAAATAGAAATGTCTTTGGTGGCAGCAATGAATCAAGGGTGGTGGTGCCTCGTGGGGAGATTAGATGAATAAATTTTCACATAGGAACCTTGGGCATCTAGAAGGTCTCCATATTTGATGCCACAGAGGTGGGATAAATCGAAGCTTTTGGGATCAGTGGCTGGAAGAAGCAGAATCTTTCCTCAGAATATCAGGGGGAAATGAAATTGTGCTGATGATACAGAATAATTTACTTCAGAATATTCTGCTGAAGTTAGCATATTTAAAGCTATACGACTGTTGGTAAATCGTGTAATATTCAAAGCATTCTAATTAGTGTTAAATAGCATAATTTTATATTTATAATGTGCTTTCGACACACATGTGTGAGAAAGTGAAATGTCTCTGTACTTTTTCCCCAAGGGAACTCTCAAGGGCTTTGATCAGACCATCAACTTGATTTTGGATGAAAGCCATGAAAGGGTGTTCAGTTCTTCACAAGGAGTAGAGCAAGTTGTTTTAGGATTATACATCGTAAGGGGTGATAATGTGTAAGTTTGGCATCTTCTGTTTCTGTTAGTGTAATTTGAACTTCCGAAAGTCATCTTCAGTGTTTCCCAACCTTTGAGTCTCCAGGTGTTTTGGACTTCAACTCCCAGAAATCCCAGCCAACTTACCAGCTGTTAGGAACTGTGGGAGCTGAAGCCCAAAACACCTGGAGGCCCAAAGATTGGGAACCACTGATTAGTGGCTTGTTTAAAAGCTAGTTATTGATATACAATATTTGTATTTTTTCTAGGAGGTTCTCTGAAGCGACCAATTGATGCATACTTTCAAGGTTATTTTTGTAATATTGCAGTAAAGTGAAACAGGGCCCAAACAGTTTTCTCTTTTGTGAACTAGCCACCAACATTTGTATACTACTTATGCAATGTCTACCTTCCCATGTTTCCGACATGCCACTGCCATCTTTCTGGTGCAGTCTGCTAGAAACTTGGCTGTTTTAAAAATCTTAAGAGTTTAGCCTTTCCTCTCAAAATTCTGTTTCCCATAAGGTGTTATATAATTTATATTTTGAAGGGAATAATCCCTGTGAAAGTTACCCCCCCCCCCAAAAGAAATTCTCCCCATGTATTGTAAAATGTTTTTAAGCAGTACATGGACAGTGTAGCCAAGTTGTGCTGTACTTTCTGTGTCTAATAAAAGCAGTGTTGGTTTTATTTTGATGTTCATGTAATTTCTTTCACAGGGCTGTAATTGGAGAGATTGATGAAGAGACAGATTCATCTCTTGATCTGGGGAACATTCGAGCAGAACCGTTGAACTCAGTAGTACACTGAGTTTAAAAAAAGGATACGGCTGTAGAAGGACTTCTTGTAGCTCCAGCTGTACAGAACTATTTATACACTGGCATGGCCACTTTTTTACAAGTTATGTGTCACAACCTGAATAGCGGATACTTTCCTATTATGAATGTTATGGTTTGATATGTTTATTAAACTGTCAATTTTATTGAAGACGAGTAGCCTTTATAGCAATCTTGTGACCATTATACCGGGAATATGTTTTATTCACTGATGGAATGGTAAATACAGTTACTTGGTATCATAGATTAAAATAATCCTGTGTTCAGACAGAAAATACACTCAGAAAGGATAAAAAATCCTCCAAGAAGCTAGGAAACATGTGTCGTGTTTTCTTGCATGAGAGGTTGTCACTGCATAATAGTCGCACTCCTATTTTGGAGGTGGCAAAATTGGTGTTTTTGTGTTCCTCACATAATAATTGCAGAGCCGTTTGGGGCTGTTTCCTCCTGCCTTCTTCGAAGGCAAGGCAGTTTAAAAACTATGAAATTGGGGTCTCAAGCTCTGCTCTTTTCTCCGAGGCAGGCTTGATCATCCCTCCTCATCCCCTTTTGGAGATAAGGCAGTTAATAAAAAAACCCCTCAAAACCAGAGAATCGAAGGCATGTCATTGCATGATTCAAATTTTAAAAAGGCATAAAGTGTGTGACTATTATGCAAAGAAATACCTTAGTTTCAATTCAATTTATCCTGCTCCATATAACAACTTCGTTTGAATGTAGGGTAATTCCACACACCTTTTCTGAACTTGAGATGCACTATTTCATCTTTTAATTTACTATGCAGAATCTTGAGTCAACATTTCTCCTTGAAATTTGGGGCAATGTACCACCATTGATGCTTCAAATTCTGTACAGTTCATTGGACTGGGATTGTATGCTTTTTCTCTACCATATATTCTAGATGTCTCCCTACATTTTTATTCTAGCCTTTATTCTGTTCTGGAGTAGTTCCTGCTCCAGACCTGATGTCTCCCGCCATAGTTTGGGGGAGTTTTAGATCTCGAGGAATCACTCCCAGCAACTCAACTGTAAAAGGCTAAAAATATTCCAACTGTATTTGAGTTTGCTACGCTGAAGCATAGTATTGATCCCTTATAATTTGTAAGGTGATACTATTAAAACCCTGCCCAAAAGGCTCCCAGAGCAGCTTACAAATTTTTGATTAAACTGTTTCCTGTTCTCAAGCTTACAATGTAAACATACTTTATTCCAAACACTAAATCTGATGGACTGACAAATAAGCACAACTCTCATTCCCCTTCCCAACCAAAAGAAAAAGGATAATACTTTAAAAAGTCACTATGTGTTATTTCTGCCCTACGCCACATAGCAATATAAGGGATTTTAAGAGTTTATTTTGTTCCTACAGCAGTAATTCTCAACCTTCCTAATGCAGCGATCCCTTAATATAGTTCCTCGTGTTGTGGTGACCCCCAACCATAAAATTATTTTTTTAACTACTCCTGTTATGAATCATCATGTAAATATCTGATATGTATGATATATTTTCATTCACTGGACCAAATTTGGCACAAATATTCAATATGCCCAAATTTGAATACTGGTAGGGTTGGGGGTGGGGGGGAGATTGCTTTTGTCATTTGGAAGCTGTAGTTGCTGGGATTTATAGTTAAGCTACAATCAAAGAGCATTCTGAACTCCACCAACAATGGAATTGAACCAAACTTGGCACACAGAACTCCCATGACCAACAGAAAATACTGGAAGGGTTTGGTGGGCATTGACCTTGAGTTTTGGAGTTGTCGTTCACCTACATCCAGAGAGCACTGTGGACTCAAACAATGATAGATCTGAACAAACTTGGCATGGATACTCTTTCTGCCAAAATGTGAACACTGGTGGAGTTTTGGAAAATATACCTTGACATTTGGGAGTTATAGTTGCTGGGATTTATAGTCCACCTACAATCAAAGAGCATTCTGAGCCCCACCAATGATAGAATTGGGCCAGTCTTCCCACACAGAACCTCCATGACCAACAGAAAATACTGTGTTTTCTGATGGTCTTTTGCAACCCCTCTGACACCCCCTCACGACCCCCCCAGGGGTCCTGACCCCCAGGTTGAGAAACACTGTCCTACAGGAAAAATCACTAGCATATCTAAAGTACAGTCTTGTGTCAGCGAAGGTATGTTTCAACAACCTGTGTGGACACCTGAACCTAGACACCAGCAGCATATTGGTAGGTTACTCACCTGTAACCATCTTTCTTCGAGTGGTCCTTCCGTGAATCCACACATGTGGAGTTCTGCGCCTGCGCAGGCTCCAACGGAAAACTTCCCAAGTTTAAAATTTTCAAAGTTTTGGTGGTAACCCTCGCCCAGCCACCCAGGAGGGCATAAAAGGCGCCCCCGCGCACACTCCCGGTAGTTCCTACGCCGCATTAGCGAGGAAAAAGGGGGAGGTTTGAAGAGGGGACGGCCGGGCGGGTTTGTGTGGATTCACGGAGGACCACTCGAAGAAAGATGGTTACAGGTGAGTAACCTACCATTTTTCTTCGTGGTCTTTCCGTGAATGCACACATATGGAGAACTAGCAAGCTAAGGTCCCGGATGGTGGGAACAAACCGACACCATTTTTAAGGGCCAAACACATGTTTATTAACTGATTGACAAGTACATGAGAAAAGGAGGTACTGGTAGTGTAAGGTATCACAAACACATGTACACTTAAGCACCGTCGATACATGCAAGGATAGGCCCAACAAGAGCAATATAAATTAACCAACCTTAGTTGGATCAATAACCTGAGATAACATGTCTATCGGTGAGATAGAAAGGCAAAAGTCAGTATGCCTAAGGAGAAGTGCAAAATGCAGTATACAAAAACAAGTGCAATAAATATATCGGCAGTTTACATGTGAGATATGCATGATATTCACAGGTCCCATCTTAGCTCGTTGCATCGAGAAAAAACACCAAGCATAACGAGAGAAACAATCACAGCAAGGCAGTGCATATGAACAACACAAGTGACCACTGAACTCGGTCAAGGAGGGCATGTGGACAAGATTGATCTTCCAAACGAAGTGTCTATTCGAGATCGAGTGTCCAAGCGATAATGAGAAACAAAAGTCATTGGAGTGGACCAAATGGCCGCTTTGCAGATCAAGTCAGTGGGGACACCTCTGAGGAAAGCGGTTGTTGCAGCCATGCCCCTTGTTGACCTCGGGCGGACCGAGGCCGGGGGCGTCTTTCATAGCATAGTTCAATCGTAGACCCGATCCAGCGAGAAAGTCGCTGTGACGATATCGGGAGTCCCACCTTGTCCGGCGCATAAGCCACAAACAGCCTGGGTGACTTATGGGTAGAAGCAGTTCTTTGTAGAAAAGCAGAGACCTTCGAACATCGAGGGCGTGGAGTCTCCTCTCCGTCGATGAGGACGGGTGTTGAAAGAAGGAAGGTAACACGATGTCCTCATTTACATGAAATGAGGAAACCACCTTTGGTAAGAAGGTGATGTCAGTTCTGAGGACTACACGGTCAGAATGGAACAAAAGGTAAGGTTCGTCGACACGAACGGCCGCCAATTCTGAGGGCCTTCGAGCAGATGTGATTGCAACCAAAAAGGCAACCTTCCAGGAGAGCAACCTCAGGTCGGTCGTGGCCAGCGGTTCGAAGGGAGGACCAACCAGCTGGGCGAGGATGAGGTCGTAGCTCCATCCCGGGGTGGGAGGGTGGATCGGGGGGTTAAGGTTGGTATAACCCCGAAGGAAGGTCCTGATGAGATGGTTCTGAAACAAAGATGGGGAACCCAGTCTGAAGGTACCAGGACAAGGCTGCAACATAAGACTTCAGTGACGACAAGGCCAGCTTTTGGGTGGCCAAGGAAAGGAGGAAGTCTAGGATGGTTGGTATCGAGGGAGGCATCTCCGTACAAGATCGCTCCCGAAGAAAGGAGTGCAGACGCGCAATACGGTAAGTGTATGCCTTCGATGTCAAAGGTTTGTGTGCTGCCTCAAGGATCGACCGTACTTCAGGAGGGAGGGACATCATGGAAGAATCGTCCACGCGGCTAAGTGTAGGGATGGAACATCTGGATGGAGAAGGCCTTGTTCTCTGGAGAGTAGATCCGGCCTGGGCTGAAGATGTAGTATTCGACCCTCGGCGAGCCGGAGGAGAGCCGGGAACCACACCTGGCGAGGCCATTCTGGTGCGATGAGTATGCAGTTTGTTCGAACCAGTTCGATCTTCTCGATCACTCGAAGGAGCGGAATCGGAGGGAACATGTAGAAAAACTCGGTTGACCAGTCGAGGAGGAAGGCGTCTCTGAGACTCCCGTTGGCGTCGTCTCGGGGAAGGCGAGCCGCGAAGAGCGGGAGATGAGCATTCTCTGGGGAGGCGAAGAGGTCGATCGACGGTTGCCCCCAACTGTCGAAGATGTCTTGTAATGCCACGGGATCGAGTCTCCATTCGTGAGACGTTGACATCGAGTGGCTCAGAGAGTCTGCTTGGTCGTTCAGCCAGCCCGGTAGATGAAGCGCTGTTGGTACTATCGAGTGCTGGCAACACCATTCCCAAATCTCGATGGAGAGTTTGAGTTTTCTCGAACCTGTTCCTCCCTGTTTGTTTAGGTAGTACATTGCTACCATATTGTCTGTTTGTATTTGGACCATCTGGCCCCGGAGGAGAGGGAGGAACGACTTGAGCGCCTTGAAAATGGCGAGAAGTTCTAGGTAATTTATGTGGTAGGTCTTTTCTTGTGCTGACCAAACATCCGGCACCGAGAAATGGCCGGTGTGGGCTCCCCATGCAAAAGTCAACAAGTCTTTCGTGAGGACTGTCGATGGCTGCCGGGGGTGGAAAGGAAGACCAAGACAAATGTTGGAGGGGTTCATCCACCAACTCAGAGATTGTTTGACTTTTTTTGGCATTGTCAATAGTTTGAGGTCGGGGTCGCGTTGGGGGTTGAAACTGTCCAAAAACCACCTCTGGAGAGGGCGCATCTTTAGTCTGGCCAGCGGAGTGACCATCACCGTGGAGGCAATGTGGCCAAGGAGTATTTGGACATGTCGCACCCTTATCCTCGCTGCTGACGTGCAGCGGTTGACCTCTCTGTAGAGCCTGGAATCTGACCCTCGGTAAGGACACCATCTCAGAGGGAGTCGAAGTCGGCGCCGATGAACTTTATCGACGTCGATGGGACGAGACAGGACTTTTCGGCATTCAGATGGAGGCCGAGGTCCTCTAGGAGTCTGAGGGTGAAGGAGATTTGCTACTCGAGAAGACGTGGCGATGTTGAGGCCAAGAGCCAGTCGTCCAGGTATGGAAAAACCCGGATTTTTCGCCTTTTTAGGTATGACGCTACCACCGACATGCATTTTGTGAATGTCCTCGGGGCCGTACCGAGGCCGAACGGAAGTACGGTGAATGAATAGGTCTGTTGTCCTATCTTGAAGGATAGGAAACGTCTGTGGGACTGTCTGATGGACAAGTGAAAGTATGCATCCCTTAAGTCTATCAATGCAAAAAAATCGCCTCGGTACAGCATGGAGGTTATCGACGATACCGTGGCCATTCTGAACTTGGTCACTCAAATGAACTTGTTCAGTGCCCTGAAGTCGAGGATCGGGCAAAGGGAGCAGTCGGGCTTCGGTACCGTGAAGTGCCTCGAGAAGAAGGCTCGACTGTCCAAATGAGATGGAGATCTTTGGATTGCCCCTTTTTGGAGAAGGGAGTTGACTTCTGCCAGAATAGGAGGTGACGGGTCTGTCCGAACGACACGACCCGTGGGAGGGAGTTCTTTGAACTGCAAGGCATAACCGTCTTCGTCAACACGGAGCACCCACACATCTGATGTGATGCGACGCCACACATCAATGAATTTGGAAAGGCGGTTTCCAAACTGCGGCAGAACGTGGTTTGAGATAGCGGGTTCTCTGGGATGGGGAAGAACTGGGAGGGTTGAGGTGAAGTTGGCAGAAGTACTGAAGGTGTAGACGGTATTGTCGAGGAAGGCATCAAACCCGACATCTAGAGTTGTTGGCCGGAGGTTGATGGGAGCGAGACCTCTGGTTTTGTTGGCCCCGGCGTTGTTGCTGGGGTTGGGTCTGAGAAGTCGGAGCAGGCCGCGGGGACTGCCTCGTCGACTGTTGTCTGTAAGGGTAGTTGGTGAAGCGACGCTGGCGATAAGTATTCCAGCGGTTTCTTTGGGCCTGTGGTGGATTGTCGAAACCACATTTTGTGGCCAAGGGTTTGTAATCTTGATTGGACTTCAGTTTGTCATCAGTCCCCACATTGAAGAGTCCCAAAGCATCGAAGGGAAGGTCCTCGATGACTTGTCGGGAAGAGGTAGAGAGGCCCGACGATCGAAGCCAGGAGTGTCTACGGATTGCTATCACATGAGCGATCATCTTGCCGGCAGTGTCACCAGTATACTTTGCCATCTGCATTTGATGGTGAGCTAGAGAAGTGGTTTCTTGGGAAAGGGCGGACATGACCGCACGATCCTCTTTGGAGAGTTTTTCCAAAAATGTTTGGGCCTTCTCCCAGATGATTTGTTGATAAGCACCCATGCATGCCCCATAGTTGGCCATTCGGGTGAGAAGTAAGGCTCCCGAATAGTTCCCTCCCCACGGCGTCAAAGCATTTTCCTTCTTGATCGGAAGGGGTGTTTGACTGCCTTCCGGACTGGGCTGCCTTGACCACAACAGAGTTCGGGTCAGGGTGGTGTTTAAGCCACTCAAGTCCTTCATCATCGGTGCGATACCATACCTCAATTCTTTTTGAGGTAGGGGGTATCGAGGAAGGAGTTTTCCAGAATGCCTGGATAACTTCCAGTAAGTAAGGCAGGAAGGGGAGCAGTGGAGCAGGAGGGGCTTCAGACTGCACCCTCTTGAAGACTGGGTCCGTGACCGCCCTTTGAAGTCTGTTTGATCTCGAGGCCCAGCGTTTCCGCCATTCTCGCCATCTGGTCGGCAAAGGCCCGAACATTGTTTGTTGGAGAAGGCGGGTCTGCTTCGTAGGCATCATGGGTTGGAGACCTGTCCAACGCCAGAGAAATTACCGACTCTGAGTGTACAGAGCCTTGAATGTCTTTATCATGGTCGTCCTCTGAATGTTGAGAGGAGGACGAAGGGTGTCTCGACGGTATCTGAAGAGGTCTGGCCACTCCCACCGGAGAGGAAGGCGGAGGCGGGTGTTTGGATGCCGAAGCTTGTACGGCTCTTGTCAACCGCGTGGTCTGTCGCCCCCTTTCTGGGGTCGATGGAGGAAAGAGTTGTTGTCTTGCTGCCAGTGGGGGGTTCTCGACGACGGTCGACACCGACTGCACCGGCGAGGGAGGCGGTTCTTCATCGATCTGGGTGTCCTGAATTGCATCTACCACTGGCCCTGGTTTCTGGGCCGATTGGATGGGAGATGACCTGGACAATGACATCGCCGATGACGATTGAGCTGGGTGCTTAGAAGAGGACAACGAGGACGATCTCGGTTGCGGCCTCTTCTTCGCCGGGGTTCGTGAGAACTCTTGAAGGCTATTCTCATCGCCGAGGTCGAGGGCGGTGTGGCTGTATTCGACCTTGTCGAGCGAACCGAGGCCACCGAACTCGAAGTGGATGGTCGTCTCGCCGGGACCGTCTGGGTAGTCAAACTGCACGGCTGTTTTTGAGGTCGTTTAGACGCCCTGGATGATGTAGACGGAGGCTTTGAGGCCTGCATCATCGAAGTCGACGGACCCGATGTCGCTGTCGAGGGCATCAGTATCGAAGAAGCACGAGACGTCTCGGCTGTCGATGTCGAAGGTCGAGGAGCCAAGGATTCTTCGAGAAGAAGAACTCTAAGGCGTGCCGCCCTGTTTTTTCTAGACTGGGCCGACAGTGCCTGGCAACGTTTGCAGGTCGAAGTTTTGTGGCCTTCTCCGAGGCAGCGAAGACACTTCAAATGTTTGTCCGAGTCAGGGATCTTTCTCGGGCATTCAATACATTGCTTGAAGCGTGTCGTGGACATAGTACGGGAAAGCTTTTCCGAGCGAGCTGTGCGGCGGAAAAACAGGAACTACCGGGAGCGTGCACGGAGGCGCCTTTTATGCCCTACTGGGCGCTGGGCGGGATTACCGCCAAAACTTTGAAAATTTTAATTTGGGAAGTTTTCCGTTGGAGCCTGCGCAGGCGCAGAACTCCATATGTGTGCATTCACGGAAAGACCACGAAGAAAAAATATTGATTATATTTGGGCCAGAAGTATACCATATAACGGCACTGGAGGGCCACCCTGTAGAGACCTACAAATACTTCAGGGGAGTGGTTATGTTTTTAGAGTGGTTAAGTGAAGCTGTAGATACTGAATCTGTGGTTAAGGGGATCATTTTGTAGTTTACAGAGATCAGATCATGGTGTAGTTCTATTGAGTACCAGCAGCTCTCTAAAAAGTTTCAGGTGAGAACTCAGCATCATTTGCTACAAAAGTATTAAGCATTGCTCTGCCTTTTTATTGTTTGCAAAGAGGATTTGGCAGAAATATGCAGCTTCTTAGACAAAAAAGGAATTTTTCTCAGATCAATTTTCATCTATGTCTAGATCGTAGTGCTAAAAATATGAGATGGTCCAATTTTTGCAGAGGAAAAGTAAAGCTGTTGAGAGAAAGGATTTTACTAGAAATAACACCCCAAATATGAATGTAAGAAGATATATTTAAACATTTATAAAAATTTATTAAAATAAAGCTACATTTACATACAGTATACAAATAAATAACATGTTTGTGTTTCTTCCAAAAAAGAAAAGGTGGGCTAGTAGCAATTCACATTTAGCAGTCGCTATCAAATACCTTAAAATGTACCAGCATATTTAGGGCAAAAAACATGGGTTTATAATCCACCACTTGCGCAAGAACTTCCCATTCACTTCTGAGGATTTCCCAAATTCTCTGGAGCATATACTGAGAATTACAGGGAAGAGGAGTCTATTCTAATTGCAGAGAGAGGAAATACAGTACTCCAGATGTTAAACTTCAGCTTCCACCATCCCTCAATATTAGCAGGAAGTACCTTTAAAGATTTGGAGAGCGACATGTGTCCCATCTGTGTATCAGTAGATGCTGTATTACAGAAACATAAATAGTTTTGGATATAGCCTGTGAGGCACTGTGCTGACTATTATGTAAGATGAATTGAAGTTTCATAGCTACTTACAACTTTTATTGCTCATCCAAAATAATCAAGAATTGATAAGCAATTTACTAACTCTGAATTGACTAGATCACTGAAACATTGATTTTTCCAACTAGAAGTCACCTGATTACAGTTGACTGTTCTTGGGAAATAAAAAAATAGAGGTAGAAGGCCTGTTACTACTAACTCAGAACAATATACCAAGAGCTCCAAGTACCCTGGTAGTATTCAATCAAACTGGAATGCACTTTATGTACCTTTTAAAATTACAAACTGCAAGTCTCTTTGTTCTGCTGGTGGCATGGCGTACCTAAACACTGCATTCATAACAATAATATTGAACTTCAAATGATGTATACCCAAACTATGCCAAACAACTATAGACAAGGTCAGAAAAGTTCAAAGTCAGTGGGGTGAAGAAAGTACAACAAAGCAAATATATCAGAGAAGCATTTCAAATACTTTCTGTCAATACTGAAACACATTTTAAAAGTACAAAGTACCAAATTACGCTAATTTTTTCATAAAAATACTTTGAATTTATATCAATATATAACAAGACAGGACTTCAGCTATTCAGAACAGATACCATCAACATATAAAGGCTAGTGTATTACATGTTAAAAAAAGAAATATGGCTTCCATTACAAATAGGAAAAATACCATTTATGCAAAATATTTCCAGATATAAGTGCCATGTGCATGATATGTTTACAACGTAATTCAAAACTATATAAAATTCACATTTGGTTCATTCCCTCCATTATAAAGTAATGTAGCAAACCCACATTAGCAAGTTTTCATTAAAGTTCATTCAAATCATATAATTTTTCTTTAAAACATCAAGATACTGCTGTTTTGCCTTGGATACTTGATCTTGATCTGCATTTAGGTTTTTTGAAGATCCACCCACTGATCCTATTGGGGAGACTCGAAGTGACCCAGTATCAAGTTCAGCATTTGCTGGAAAGCAAAAAAAAATATATGGTTATAATTTTCTCTCAGTTCGGCAGAAAGTAAATCAGAGACAATAGGTGACAAAACAATATAAGGAAGACTCTTCTGTCAAAAATGTACTCATTAGAGAAATAAGGTAAAATTGTTTTATTCCAACAAATCCAATGAATTGGGTTGTCAAATATGAGTCTTGAGTATTTTTTGAAGATTTTATTTAGCAAATTTGATTTTTATTTATTTTTACTTTGGAGACAAAACATTACATTAATTAAATATATACACACACATATATGCACGCACACACATTAATTAATTAATTAATTAAAATGCTATCTTTAAACAAATTCAGATTATCGTTTGGAAATTATTATTTGCAAATATGTCAGGCCATAGTTCCCTTACGAAGAATTGGATCCAGACTTGGTGTAGACTTGTAAAATTGAATGTATGCAAAGGGATCTTGTAGCATTTTATAGACTGAGAGTACGAAATCAACAAAAATAAATATTTTGGCATAAAACTCTGGCATACCATGATTACTATCATTTTGTAGGAAAAAATTCCACAGTAACATACATTTATAAATTGCTAGGATGCAGTTTGCAAACATACCTTGGTCTAATTCCTTGGCAATGTTTTTTTCCAATTCCATCTGCATCTGAAATTACATTTAGATTAACTATAAATTGAATGTAAATGTATAATGTTCATTAAATAATAGTAACATCATAAGAAATGTTATGTTGGGTTAACTATTACATCTATTGTTTCAATATCATTTTGATATTAATTTCCAAACCATCCTAGAGTGACTCATTAGGTTTATGATAGTGCCGACCAATGTCAACCAAATGAATCACATTCTGAATGGTGCATAAACACTTATGCAAATCCACTGATTCAGTGGGTCTCCTCTAGCCAGTAGCCACCGAATCGCTTTTATTTGTTCATCAGCTCAGAAACCCTTAAGAAGGCAATACAAGAAAGCGAGTAAAAAAGTGAGCCAACATTATCAATTGGATTTGGGAGTCTAACTATAGCTATATTTAATAAGTTTTAAGAAGCTGATGCAATACAAAAAAAGTTCACTTTTGATATATTTACAGAGTTATTTCACACAGGGTTGCAGTTTGTATTAGCTTAATACTAAAGAATAATTTTTTAATCAATCTGTCAGGATAAAAAACAATTTTTAATTAATTTGTAACAGAACAGTCATAGTTGTCCTGTAGAAAAAAATATGTAACATTAAGCAATGCGGACTACACACCTTGTTAAGTATCTGGTTGCAGAGAAGAGAAAGAAGAAATAGACTTTTGATCAAAGAGCTGAAGAAGCAAAGAAGAAGCCATAAGTGTATAGTTCTTGAATTTAAAACGGCCAGTTTATAAGTGATTGAAAAGGAAGGGTTTCTCTACAAAATAGGTTAGTTGGATCTATGCCAGGTATGCAAGCCATTTACAATTAGTAAATTCAGTGTGATTTAGTTCTGAGAAAACATGAAGAATTTAGCTGCAAGAAGAAAATCTGGACTGATCTGAAAAAAAGTTATACTTTTCTATTAAAATCAACATGATAATGCCAATGATTTCAATGAGATTAAAGAATGACAAATATTATTTGGATTCAGCTGAGATTCTGTAGCCTTAGATACAGCTATGACAACTGACATCTGTTGTGAGCATTTATGCCAATGTCCCGCCCTGCCCCGCTCCCCAGGGTCGCAAATCCTGCCTTTAAGTCAAACAAAGTTTCTCAAGACACTGTGGATGAGAATGTCATGAACCGATGCCTGAAGTGCTCTCCTGGTCTTGGAGTAAACAGGAGAGACCATGCAGGGTCCTGTTAGAACTACTTGTTTCATTGTACTCTGTGACTCGGAGAGCACTGTAGTCATGATTTTTCAGTGTCCCAATCAGTATTGCCCAGCTTAAAAGATGGGTCTTGAAGTCACATTCCATCACTAACAAACATAAATATAAATCCCAAAAGTTATGAGATCATAAGTCCCGTTATGATTTTGTAAATATTGAACATTTTTGGAAACATACTGCTCTGCCTATTAACACTGCAGACACAAGAAAAGTGGGAAAAATTAGGAAACTGGAATTGTTCCTTCACTTGAAACTGGAGCATTCACTAATTGTCCTGGTTCTTAAGAAGGATAACACTCTAATCTAGGTGGCTAAGAAGGAAAACTACATTTCTGTGACCCATAACGGTCATCATAGGCCCTTTATACTAATTTTCAAGCTAGTTTTGCAGAGGACATGAAAACATTTTTGCTTTCTTTTCCTTGTTATATTAACTCAAGTGACAGGTGGTGGTTGTCAGCGGTAGTTCAGATTTTTAAAAGGCCATCCTAGGTGTTGAACGCCACCACTCAAATAGATTCAGCTCAGGGCGCCTTGGGTTGTTTAAAGATCAGATGAATAATCAGAAAGATTTACAACCACCCCACTGTTAAGTTGCCAGTTGCCAACTGTTCTTCTAAAATGACATTCTAAGGTAAACTGCATTCTTAAGGCATAATTTTAAAGCTAACAGATTTTCAGTCTAATGCCAGCAGTACTGTAACATGAGGTGGTTAAAAAATAAAATGGAGCTCTATAATCAGTCTCACAATTCATTAATTAGCAGCCAAGTGTTAAGAAGTCATTTCTATTTGCATGGTTCAATAGACAAAGGAGATGAAAATACAAATGGGAGCAGAGTGAGTGAGCAAAAAAGTGAAAACAGATTGAAGAGAGGAACAGGATGAAGGATCTATACCAGAAAGAAGGGAAGATGTTTGAAACGGATGTAAGAAGGCTGTAAAAAGGAGCAAAAGGAAAAAGATAATGATTTTAAAATGTTGGTATATAGAAAAGAAAAACAAGAATACCACCCTGTGGAAGAAAAATGAAATGGTAAACTCGCTGGGATTTCTGGGAGTTGTAGGCCAAAACACCTGGGGACCCACAGATTGGGAACCACTGTAAAAGCATAGTGTCAGATTCTTGCAGCATATTTATTTCCAAAAATGCTTCACAGGACCTCATCAGAAGAGGTTGTCCTCCATTTCTACATACTTAAGAGACAGAATCCCATGGATCTCATCAAACAACGCATGATTCGTTCTGTGGATTGCCTGTGGGACTCCAGTTTTACACTATGTAGAAACAGGTTGGAATCCACTCCTCTTATCTCCCTTCACTTAGAAATGGGTATTTTTTCCTGTGGGATGGGCAGTATAGGAGCCAAATATTTAAGGACTTAGCATATTGGTTAAACTGATGCAGCTGTTCAGGTGAACATTACCTAATATCACAGCATTAAAAGAAATCTTAGAATGACACTGGGGATTACTGACCTTTTCCAAGTAAGCCTCCACTCTGTTTTTTGAGGTTAACGGACTTCCGGTTGGGTTCATAAATTCTCCTCCAAGGCTAAGAGGTCTAGTTAATGCTAAATTGCAGCCAAGATTTCCAAACTGAACTGTTTCCAAGACAGGGCTTGTCGAAAGGCTTCCACCTAAAAAGCTGTTGGCAAGTAATGATCTGCTCCTGTTGCGTTCATAAAAGAGTTTGGCATTGGCTTCTGCCAATTTCTCACTAGATCTGTGAAACATTTAACAGCAGGTGAACAGTTAACAGACATATGATCAAAAAAGAATTGGTACACATTCAACTTTTTAACAAGTGAGATATTTCCAGTTCCACACAGAGATACTACTGTGCAGGGTTCCAATAAGCCAAGAATCATCTTGTACTTCATTTCGATTCACAGATCAAAGTGGGGCAAAGCTTAAAAAAACTGTTCCCCCCCCCCCCTTTATCCACCTAGTGAAATTTTCTTATACTGCTATACAAAGCTAAGGGGTTTAGGATCAGGGTTGCTTGGCTAACTACCAGTCTCAAATTGTATTATTTTATTGCAATTTTGTGGGGAAGGAAGGTTCCCAAGGAGTCGAAAAGAGGAAAAAGGTGTCCTTTTCTCTGTGTGAAATCTCCCCATATATCACAGGAACTGACATTTTGTAATGGAATACTTTCCTGTGGTTCAGAGCAGAGTCATCATGAACAAACTGCTTTTTTCTTACCTTACAGAATACATAATCTAAAGTCAACCCCCATTGTTTTTCTAAATATGTAGGCAAACTACATTTATGCAGAATTTACTAGCTTGTGGGCTACTGATGGACACAAGACTACCAAGGTCAGTATTATTTGGAAAAAATTAAGAAGATCCTTCAACAATTAATGGAAAGGGTGATAAATGATTCATTATTCTGTATGTTTCTATTAACAGAGCAGATGGTTGTGTTCTGGGGCTGGATAAAGTATCTTCATGCTCATCGTATTCGAAACCTGGGAAGTTCCTTTCAGGAATGGTGGGTCATGTAGAAATTTTAGTCAAAATATTGACTCTCAAAATTTTGGTTGGCTTGTCCATGGGTCATTGTAGGTACTGTACTTAAATTCTTTATATAAAAAAGGACACATCTCTGAGTAGAGTGGTGAAAGGCAAGAGCAAGAGGGCCCCTAAAAGAAGCAACAATGAACAGTTATAATCTCTCTGCCACAGTACCAAGTCTGGTCTTTTTCAATAAAAGTAAAGGTAAAGCTTTCCCCTTGACATTAAGTCTAGTCAAGTCCGACTCTGGAGGGTGATGCTCATCTCCATTTCTAAGCTGATGAGCAGGCGTTGTCCATAGATGCCTCCAAGCATGACTGCATGGAGCACCATTACCTTCCCGTCAAAGTGGTAACTATTGATATACTCACATTTGTATGTTTTTGAACTGCTAGGTTGGCAGAAGCTGGGGCTAACAGTGGGAGCCCATTCCCCTCCCCGCCAGCCTTTTGGTCAGCAAGTTCAGCAGCTCAGCAGTTTAACCTGCTGTGCCACCGGGCCTCTTAATACTTTTTTTAATAGCTGGGTGGAAACATGAACCCAGGCCCCTGAGGTGACACTGACACTCTCCCCTCTGTGGAATGCTCCTTGACTTATGCATGATTAATATCAAAATACATATTTTTAGCCCATAACCTGCCTTCCATTTACACACGAGGCTGACTTGTACAGGAATATATCCATTTCCTCTCTTGGGGCCCTACTATTCAAAGTAGAAGCAGTAGCAATTCACACTTTTGTCAGGAAGCTTATAATTAGGATGGAAGGAAGCACATTGCTTAGGTAAGATTTTTTTTAAAAAAACACATCTTGGACTCAAATGAAGCATTTAATTGAGAGAAATGCAGACTTTACAGTGTGCATGTTTCAACCTCCACCCTCACCCACAGTATTTGGTAAGAACAGACAGAACGTTCAGAGAACAAAGGACTCACTCATTCCACCCAATTTTCCCTTTTCACTTCATCCTTTAAGTGGTATGCTATAGTCTGTCTCTTGGAGCACCCAGTGGCGCAATGGGTTAAATCCTTGTGCTGGCAGAACTGCTGACCGAAATGTCATCAGTTCGAATCCGGGGAGTAGGGTGAGCTCCTGTCTGTCAGCTCCAGCTTCTCATGCAGGGACATGAGAGAAGCTTCCCACAGGATGGTAAAACATCCGGGCTTCCCCTGGGCAACATCCTTGCAGACAGCCAATTCTCTCACACAGAAGTCACTCCTGACTAAAAAAAAAAGTCTCTCTCTTAAATCTTAAGTCTTCGCCAGCTTTTTTGCTTTTCTTTTTTAAATGCAAATCTTTTCCAAATGTGCAGAAGCCATTGTTTTTTTCCGTAAGTGACATGTTAAAGAGTCCACACCTCATAAATCTTAATGTCTCCACTAGCTGTTCTGCTTTGGCTCAGGTTTAAAAAAATTAAAAAGAGAAATTAGTATTTTTCTGCAGGCAACTGTGTGGGTGCTGCTACCAGCATCTGGTAGGACATATAATACTTACAACACCCACAGAATTTGGTCTTGAAGTCATTATATCAAATGTTTTGCTGTAAACATGTTTTCCTAATGTCATTCAAATTATAAGGTAAATATTTTATTTCCTTTTTGTGCTATATATTAACTAAACAAACAGTTTAAAAAAGTGCAGAAAAAGGCAACAAGTAAGATTGGTTAATCTTACCGATCCAATTTGCTTCTTAAAGACTTTCTCATTTTTAGTTCTTCTGAGTATAGCTCCTTATATCTTTCCAGTTCTGTATGTGTTGAGTGTTTCTGTAACCCATTGTCTTGCTGACTGTTTTTAAGTTTTGTCAACTCAGACTCTAAATCTCTAATTCTGTTTTCGAGCTGATTTTTCAAGGAAGAATAATTGGTGGCTCGTATTTGTTCCAAGGTTTCTTGTGAGGCTGCCTGTGTCTAGGATACAAAACAACATGGGTTACTACATTTAGAAAGAGGAGGTCTCTTCCTCATACTATTAAAAACACTAGAGTAGGATAACAAAGCTTAATTGTTAAAGTGGTCTGATGTATAAAAGTTACCAGAGGTTTTGATTGTATTCATGTTTACCTGCAAAAACAAATTGACTTCTTCCAGTTTTTGTCTTACATCTTGTCTAGCTCGCTCTTCAATATCTTTCTTGTATTGTTCCACTTGGTTGTGGTCTATCGCATTACCCTGTATGCGGTGTTTGAGATTAGCAACTTCTTCTTCTAGCTGCTGTTTGCTTTTCTCCAATTTCTCATGATTTTTTTGAAGTATCTTCATAGAAGACAAGTGTTCATGCAATTCATGATTTCTAGATTCCAAGTGGGTGCATCTTTTTGACTCTGCTTCCAAATTGTGAGAAAGTTCATCTACCTGAACAAAGGAGAAATACTGAACTGAAATCAGGCCTTTATTTCTTACAAAGAGAAATTACATCCCTATTTTTAGTTATACAAGGAAACAAGAACTGAATTAATAGATTAAAAGCATTAATGGAAAAGTCTGACCATAAAGGTACCTTTGCTCTCAACTTTCCAACTTCGATGTCAATATCTGAATATCTCTTCTTTATTTCTCCATGAAAGTTAGACTGAGATGAACTCTCTCCACTCTCATACTCTTTAAGTTTCTTTTTGGTTGTTTTCAGAAGTTTTTTAATCCTGTAAAGTAAACATTAGAAAAGTAAAGATAACACTTGATGAGAAAACTTGGAATAAGACTGTATTTAAATGGCTGAAATACTCTGTACAGATTTTCTTTTTTTACTCCACACCTAAAAACATTGACTATGATTGAACAAACAGGAAAATGTAGAACCAGGTGGTTCCTTTCAGAGAATATTTACTAAACTATGAATACATAATTTTTAAAAAAAATGCCAATGGACTTAATTTATTTCATAAATATGCTAATTAACAAATAGAATACAAATGCATTTGAATATTAAATAAACTGCATATAACTACAATATTAATTATTTTCTTGTTGTTTTTTTGTTTAGTTGCTTCTGATTCTTCATGACCTCATGGACCAGCCCACGCCAGAGCTCCCTGTCAGCCGTCTCCACCACCAGCACCTCCAAGGTCAAGCCAGTCACTTCAAGGATAACATCCATCCATCTTTTCCTTGGTCAGCCCCTCTTTTTTCCTTCTATTTTCCCCAGCATCATCATCTTCTCCAAGCTTTCCTGTCTTCTCACTATGTGGCCAAAGTACTTCATCTTTGCCTCTAATATCCTTCCCTCCAGTGAGCAATCAGGCATTATTTCCTGGAGTATGGATTGGTTTGATCTGCTTGTGATCCAAGGCACTCTCTGAATTTTCCTCCAACAACACAGTTCAAAAGCATCTATCTTCCTTTGCTCAGCCTTCCTTATGGTCCAGCTGTTGCATCCATAGATTACTACAAGGAATATCATTGCTTTAGCTATGCGGACCTTTGTTGCCAGTGTGATGCCTCTACTTTTCACTATTTTATGGAGATTAGTCATTGCTCTCCTCCCAAGAAGTACATGTCTTCTGATTTCCTGGCTGCAGTCTGTGCCTGCAGTAATTTTCATGCCTAGAGATACAAAGTATGTCACTGCCTCCACATTTTCTCCCTCTATTTGCCAGTTATCTATCAGTCTGGTTGCCATAATCTTGTTTTTTAAAAAAATGTTTAACTACAACCTAGCTTTTGCACTTTCTTCTTTCACCTTGGTTATCAGGCTCCTTAGCTCCTCCTTGCTTTCAGCCATCAAAGTGGTATCATCGACATATCTAAGGTTGTTAATGTTTCTTTCAGCAATGTTAACTCTAGCCTTGGATCCATCAAGCCCCTCATGTCACACAATGTGTTCTGCATACATGTTGTATAGGCAGGGTGAGAGTATATAACTCTGCTGTGCACCTTTGCCAATCCTGAACCATTCTGTTGTTTCGTGGTGTGGTGGTCTTACTGTTGCTACTTGGTCGTTATACAAATTCCTCAGGAGACAGACAAGGTGACTTGGCATCTCAATACCATCAACAACTTGCCACCCTTTGTTAATTACAATAAAATCCACAGATGATAAGTAATAAATCATGTCCTCTAGTTCCTATCATTTCTGATGATGCCTCCTCCTATTCCCTCACCTGCTTACTGACAAGAGACCTGGAGTCAAAGTATGGGACATTATTTCTCCAGAATTAACAGCATCCTTGTGTTGCATCCATCTACTATAGTTAAGAGAATACAGTGCTTTAAAAGCCAGGCCAAGAGTATAAGATGCTGTGGACTTGGATTTTATATGCATGGCTATTTTCAATATGACAATGCTAAATATATCTGAAATAGAGACCAGTAAGTCTTTTCAGTAATAGAAACCCATTCTCTAAAACATATGCAGTTTGGCAGGCAGAAACTTCAGTAAGATTCAGACATAGTTTGAAAATGTATTTTTTACACCTTTTTTCCTGGTGAAAGTAAACACTCTTAATCAGCTACTGAATGGCAAGTCAACACTTGTGGAAATCATGATTGAATCAGCAAGTTGAGTTAAAATTGGCAGCTGGGTATAGGCTTATTACTGTATTATATTGCAAATGTATTTTGTAAATGTGATATAATATTGTGCATCAACCATCTATATAATAAAAAGGTTCCAAAAGACCTCACCACCTCTGAGGATGCTTGCCATAGATGCAGGCGGAACATCAGGAGAGAATGCCTCTAGACTAAGCACAGTTGAGGCCCTCAACTACCTCTGAGGATGTTTGCCATAGATGCAGGTGAAATGTCAGGAGAGAATGCCTCTAGAACATGGCCATATAGCCCGAAAAAACCTACAACAACCCAGTGATTCCGGCCATGAAAACCTTCGACAATACATTAAAAAGGTAATGTTCGTTTGTAGGATTAACACAACTCAAAAACCACTGGGCGAATTGACACCAAATTTGGACACAATACACCTATCAGGCAAACAAGTGACCACCACTCATAAAAAACAATGAAAAGTACAGCAGAAAGGCTTAAAAAATAAAAAATACATTACAATGCATGTGCAAAACCACATATATACACGCAAATACACATATATGCACATATACAGAAATATATACACACATATACGCATATATATACACACACAAAACACATATACACAGCAACGCATGGCAGGGGACGGCTGGTTTAGAATAAGTATTTCACTGGAGAAAAATAAAACAGCATTTCTATAAAGTGAACTACTTACTATTTATTGGACATGCACATTCTCCTTACCCATTGCATTCTTTTTGTAATTCACTGTTTCTCTTCATTTCTTGATCTAGTCGTATATCCACTGAATGTTTTAACTCTACTATCTTCTTCACTTTTTTCCTTTCATTCTCCAACTGATAAAAAAATAAGTTATACACAGAAATGTACATCAATTATTAATGTTTAAAATCCAATCAACTGAATACACAGTTTCTGAACAGCAGATGGATCTTTTATATGCAACACTTGTGTTATGTGATAAAAGGGGCATGAAATTCCGATATGATCCTCTACTTGTGGACATTCTTTTTTCCCTATCATGGTGGTTCATTGGCAAGATTTGTTCATAGTGGGGTAACTTTGCCTTCTTTGAAGAGAGAGTGGCTTGCCCAAGGTCACCCAGTGGATAACAATGGCTGAGTGGGGATTCAACCGCTGATCTCAAGAGTCATTTTTAAATTTCATTTTACAAGCTATACATTAATTAATGCAAATGAGTGTATTACGTAGACTGATATCACCTTGACTGTAAGTGACTATCCTGGTCTAAATCTACATTTCTAAAACATATACCTTTGTTCAAAGTGTCTGCAAATACTTCTTCAGTATGCCAGCAAAAATCTCAAATACTGACTAACCCAGTTTAGATGTCAGGGCTGCTATTTTATCAATGTGATTAGTGACAGGAGAGTTTTAAAAAAGGTTTGTGGGATATTAGAAATTAGTACAGTAACAATAACTTCTATTCCTATGTAAAATGATTAGCCTTCCCTGCTCCCCTCACATAACATATTGAACAAGATATTTGCAAGGATAAGTGAGACACAAGTAACTGAATTCTAACAACTTGCACTTGGTTTGCTTTTTAAACTTTTTATCTCAAGAACTCTCATCTCTTTACAGAATATATTCAGAATGACTAGTAGAGGAAAAACAACTGGATGTCACTGCCACAGCACATGGCTAAGGACTGAAAATGAAAGGTAGAAGCATGTCCTCCATTTGGCAAACATACTGCATTCCCAGTGGGCTTACCTGAGCTGTTAGCTCTGCCTTTTCCCTGTCAAGTTCAGAAAGGCGAACCCCAAGTTTTGATCTTGACTTCAGCTCCTCTTCCCACAAATTATGAGTATCTTGTGCAGTTGCTGAGAGCATAGTTTGCTTCTGTACCTAAAGAAATAGCCTTTCAGTTAGAAGCAAAACAAAACAGAAAGAATCCCCCAAGGAAATAGCATGTATCTTTATGTATCTTTAAAGCAGGCATGGTCAAGCTTTGGCCCTCCAGAAGTTTTGGACTTCCAACTCCCACAATTCCCAACAGCCTACCTGTTATTAGGGAATTGTGGGAGCTGAAGTCCAAAACAACTGGAGGGCCAAAGCTTCCCCATGCCTACTTTAAAGGCATGTTCTCCCTGGCCTTCTAAAATCTGTTTCAAGCATTATGGCACTTTGAATTTGTTTATTTATTGACTAGTAAGCTCCTGACTATGCTGAACTTTATATATGATTCTATTAGATTTTTGTTACACACTGTATTATATAATTATTGTATGCCATAAAGACAATTCGTCTTAAAGGCAGCCAAGAAATAAGCAATTCCTCAAGTACAATTCCTCATGCTAGAAGACTCTGACATAACAAAATAGAAAGCTGTAGCTTGTGCTTTCTGCATATGGAGAAAGGTGGGATACAAATGAAACCAATACAAAAATAATTAAGAATAATGAGGAGTTAATAATATAATGTAATATTCATATAGTAATTATAAGCTATAATATAAATGTGACAATACCTTAATATTTTGGAAGACTACAATTGGAAAGGTTCATAAAGGTAAGAGTGTGCATTTACTTAATGTACAACCTTTTCAATGGCTTCATATACCCTTTGCTATCCTTTTGTGGAACCTCTGCTCAGTAAGGATGTCAGAGGACCAGAGAAGAGCTAACATTGTGCTTCTCTTCAAAAAAGGAATCCAGGAAACTACAAACTAGACAGGCTGGGAAAAATATTATACTGCATTATATAGAAATCTGTCTGCAAGTATCTTGATGACAATGTAGTGATCGGTAGGAGCCAGCATGAACTTGCCAAGAACAAATCCTGCCAAACTCATTAATTTTTTAATCAGGCCACTAGTTTAGTAGATGATAGGAATGTTGCGGGTGTCATTTTTCTGGATCTCAGTAAAGGATTTGATAAAGTCCTTCAAAATATTTTAATTAGTAAACTGACTAAATATAGAATAGATGGAAACAATGTCAGCTGGATCCATAATTAGTTGGATAACCATCCTGAAAAGTTATCAATGGCTGTGGTTCAAACATGAAGGGAGTCTCAAGTGAATAGCCTTGGGAATTTGTCCAAGGGGCATCGATCTTCAACATTTTTATCAATTATTTAGATCAGTGGTTCTCAGCCTATAGATCCACAGATGTTTTGGCCTTCAATTCCCAGAAATCCTAACAGCTGGTAAACTGGTTGGGATTTCTGGGAGTTGTAGGGCAAAACACCTGGGGACCCACAGGTTGAGAACCACTGACTTAGATGATGGGGTGGAGTGAATCCTTATCATGTTTGCAGAAACAATACAAAACTAGAAGGTGTGGGTAACACATGAAAAGGTAGATACAGAATCCAAAAGGAACCTTGACAAACTAGAAAACTAATAAATAAACTAATAAAACACCAATAAAATGAAATTCAATCAAAACAAATTCAAAATTCTGCATTTATAGCACAAAAACCAAATGCATAGGTATAAGATGAGGGATACATGGCTCAGTACGACATGCTTGCATTAATAGAAGCATCATTTTTAAAATGAGGGAAGTAATAGTCCCACTATAATTTGCACTGGCCAGAGTTTGTCTGAAATACAACTTTCATTTTTGGATACCTCATTTTCAGGGTGATATAAGAGACAAGTTGGACTGAATTCAGAGAACAGCAACAAGGATGATAATTGGTATAGAGAACGAAACATGAAAAATGTTTGAAGGAGTTGGGCACAGTCGACTTGGGGAATTTAAGACTGAGCGTTAACATGATTATATTCTTCAAATACTTCAAGTGCTGACACAAAAAGGAGGAACAAATTTCATGTTTGCTGCCCAAAAGAGGAGCACTAAGTTGGATGGTTTGAAGTTAAAGGAAGGTAGATTTTGATTCAATATTAAAAGGAACTTCTTGACAGTAAGAACAGTTCAGCAATGAAGCTGCCTAGAAATGTGGTGGGACCTACTTGAACATCTTCAAAAAGAGGATGGGATGCTTTAGCTCAGTAGTTCCCAACCTTTTTTTGACCAGGGACCACTCTCCAACATTAGTACCAAAAGGGTTACAAATCAGTTTTTGTTCAACTTTGGATTTTGTTTGGTTATTTGGGGTGCTGATTCAGAAAATTGCATTCGATAGACCACATCAGCTCTAGTTTCTGATACAGAACATATGCCATCCAGTAGTCGACATCTGCTCACTGACAGAAACCATATTTAATAAGCCTCAGCACTATAAGAGGGTTTCGCGAGACCAGTCACTCTCATTGCAACAGTGTACTGACAGTGAAGCCACAGACTGTATTTTCGTTCTTGTGGACTACTGGTGGTCCACAGACCACAAGTTGGAAACCGCGGCTTTAGCAGGAACTCCTGCAGTGTGGACCTTTCCAACTCTGTCACTCTATGAAAAAGATTCTCAAACTAGTTTAAAAGCCCCGAGTGAATTATAGACTTTGTGTGATTAACAGCTTTTTAAAAATATCCAATGTCACCTCATTTTCATAACTCTTTTTCAATTGGGATGCTGCCCAGTGCAAGAAAAGTCTCCTCCCTCTACTTCTGTTCACTATCACTCTGCATACACACTACACATTTTCCTGGGAGCAATTTAACTTCAAGTTTTATTTTGTTTTAATTTTATATATTTTTTACAAATCTGTAAATTCTCTTGAGCCTGCTGATACTTCCTCCTTCTATGTAAGCCACACAAAGGATGGAAACTTGCTCCCTGAATCAGGAAATGGTCTCCAAGTACAGAGTGCCATTTTTTCTCATTTTTTAAAAAATCCTTTTTCTATTTAAGTATTGCAAGTGTAATCACAGACACATTTTCAATATATTAGAAATGTGTAATATACCTGTTGATTTAGTTGCTCTTCCAAATTGATTTTTGCTGTTTGCAGACCAATTATCAGTTCCTCAAGATTATTGTGAGCCTGTATCCAAAATAACAAATGAAATAGTAGATTTGAGAAATCTCTTTTCGATTATTGTTTTATTGTTATCTTTTTCATTGACATCTGTAATGAATTTGCTGATCTCTGCAAGATTTTTGGTGTATAGCTCTACGTTGCAAGGTGGCAGAATTGGCACAAATAGGGTAGCAACAGTAAAGGCAAGATTAATTTGCATACGTGCAGCCCATTGGTCCTATGCAGATGAGTGTAGTCCAGGATTTTGAAAAGGCCACTGAGCCAGAATGACAGTTGAGAAGAGAAGAGATCTGAACGTTCTAAAGGGGCGGAGTTACGTTTAAAAAAGAGGCAGTTAGAGTTGAAAAGAAATGACAGTTAGTTAGGAAGTACTGTTTGTGAGGAACAGTTAGGATTTTAAAATACATTAAAAACAGAAGCTACAAATCAACCAGACAATATACCCTTAACAGATCTACTATAGCCAATTTTTAAAAGCCAGTCAGAATTTTAAAAAAGTTATGGTTTAAAGAGAGCTATAAAACAATTTCCCAGATATTACTTTGCTCCAAAATTCTTATGTCTGAAAAGATAATAAAAAAGTGAAATGGACATCTTTCTTGCTCAACTTCCCCAACTATCTCAATAATATTATGGCTGACTTACAGAGGCATTACTGTGCATATCTTTCTGAAGTATCTCAATTCTATTGGTCTGTTGGTTGGTGGTTGCTTCCAATCTGGCATTTTCTATTTCAAGTCTGAAAAAGGCACATACCAAGTTTCAGAACAGTGCACAATATAGTTAAATTGATTTCAACTTAAATATTTTTGTTAAATCTCCAAAACATGAATTTGGTACTATACATTTACATTTTACATTAATTCTCCATTTCTATCTTATGCTAACATATACAATTTCATGACATGGGAAATATTTTATTACCTCTGTACATGCTCTTCTAATTGTTTTATAGCATTATTTGCACCTGATGATGCCACCAGTAGGTCTTTTAATTTCTGAGCCGCCACAATTGCTTCGTGTTCCTTAGCATCCAAAGCATTTTTTAAGTTATGTGCACATCTTTCCGACTGAAAATACTGTTCTTCTGACTCTTGCAGCTGTAACAACACTTCACATTAGCAATAGGAATGCCTACCGGGATTTCCCCAGATGACTATAGAATTAGAACTAAATCGTTGCGAAGTAAGCAGTAAGAAAAAAAGAACATTTGCCAGACTATGAAACTTTGCATCTGACCATGAACATTATTCTCTTTAGCCAATTTTGCATTTATAAGGGGAAATGTGGAAGTTCTATGTAATGGATTTTAGATGCTACTAATTATTTCACCCAAACAAACAGGGCATGGATATACTTATACATATACAGAGGGCCCCCTGGTGGTGCAGTGGGTTAAGCCGGTGAGCTGCTGGACTTGCTGACCAAAAGGTTGGCAGTTTGAATCTGGGGAGCGGGGTGAGTTCCTGCTGTTAGGCCCAGCTTCTGCCAACCTAGCAGTTCAAAAACATGCAATGTGAGTAGATCAATAGGTACTGCTTCTGCAGGAAGGTAACTGTGCTCCATGCAGTCATGCAGGCCACATGAGCTTGGAGGTGTCTATGGACAACGCCGACTCTTCGGCCTAGAAATGGAGATGAGAACCACGCCCCAGAATCGGACACAACTAGACTTAATGTCAGGGGAAACGTTTACTTTTATCTTTTATACATTTACACAGACACACAGAAACACACACACACACACACATATCAAAAGTAGACATAAATTGGCTAGGACTTAATGATCTGTTACAACCATACCTTGGATTTTATCCTCTCTATTTCCTTTTGATATTGTTGTTTATCCTCTTCTAAATCAATACGATAACGTGTTGAAACTTCTAGTGAAGCTTCTGTCATGGACTGCTTTTTAAGAGAATCTGCAAGTTCTTGTTGTAGTTGCCTTATGGTACCCTGACAACAGAATTTAGAAATAAGGACTTTACAAATTAAGCATTGCCCAGAGGGTCAAAGTTTGCCCATGCCTAATGTATGGTGTTTACTATTAGGTGGAGGACAGCATGCCTATTCCCTCAAATGTTATGGATCTAGAAAGTAATTTTGCAAAATACTTAATTCTACAAAATGAATCTAACTGTAAATCAATACAGTATTTCATCAAAAATGTTAATACCCAAGGATGATATTTCTGAGAAGGTAGAATCAGGGAATATAATTATCTTCATGCCTAATCTGGATACAAGCCTTGTACCATTGAAAAAATAGTTTCATCGTCAGTATTTGAAAGTTTAAAGTGTGTTGGTGAGATGTATCACACTTACCTCTCTATCAACCTTTTCTGCTTCATATTTAAGAATTTGTTCTCTTAGATTATCACATTTTGTAACTAATTCTTTATTTCTCTCTTCCATCAGCTGCACTTGCTTTTCAGTATCACCTCTGAGTTTAGTAAAAATATCATTGAATCGATCTTGGACGTCAGTAACTACTTTTTCTTTGATAATACTCTTATTTTGAAAATCTTCCAACTGTTGTCGAAGTAAAAGATTTTCACTCTGGAGCTGTGCCAATCGTTCCTGCATAGAATCGTGTTTTACAATGTATTTGTTCATTTGATCCTTTTCAGCTTGTCGTGCATTTTCAAGTTCTTTCACTTGGCATTGGGCCTGGTTCAAATCTCTTTGACAACTTTCTAAGAGCAAGGTCTTTTCTCTGAGAGAGTGTGTTACATGGTGGAGTTCATTTTCTAGACCATTAGCTTTACTTTCAGATTTACTTAACTGTTGAGACATGGTATTGCTAGTTTCTCTTAGAGTACATATATCATGATTGAGTTTGTCCTTTAAATGAATCCACTCATCCCGCTCTCGTTGCAGCACTCGTTCAGCATCGTTTTTTGCTAACTGGCACCGTTCAAGTTCCTGAACAGTAGAAGTCAAACGAGAACGGAATGAATCTATTTCCATTTCTAGTCTTTCTTTATGTTCCTTAATATGTTCTAGTTTGGTTGTTAGCATTGCAGCCTCTGTTTTTGATATATTTATTTGTCCATTACACTGGAAAACCGTTTGAGTCAAAGCATCTTCATTCAGTTTCAGTTCTTTTTTAAGTTCTTCTATTTTTTCTTTCAAAGCTTCATTTTCTTCTAAATATTTACTTTCTTCCTCCTGATGCTGAATTCTTATGCGGTCAAGCTCTAATCGTAATACAGAAAGCTCATCTTGGAGGATTTGATTTTGGTGCAACAGTTCCTTTTCTTGGTCATGATTATCACTCATCTGAAAGGTTCATAAACAAAAAAGCAAAATTAATAAATGTGCTCGGGATTCATAAATTTACTTTTCCTCATACTTGAAGAATTAAACTCTTAACTTTTATGAGTATTATATATTTTCTTTCAAAGGATACTCTTTTGCTAACATTTCCCAACCTTTTCCCTAATGACCTCACAAATGAATTAAAGAAAAATATTTTAAATGTCAAGGGAACAGTAATTTGATAAATGAAAACCAACAGCAAGAGACTGACTCACTTATTAGTTTTTATCGTTCAATGTGTAAGATGTGTTTAGCAGGTCTGCGTGAGATGATAGTGGTTAGAACGATTACGTTAGACTGAGTTTGTTAAAAGGTAAAGGTTTCCCCTTGACATTAAGTCTAGTTGTGTCCAACTCTGGGGGATGGTGCTAATCTCCATTTCTAAGCTGAAGAGCTGGCATTGTCCATAGACACTTCCAAGGTCATGCGGCTGGCATGACTGTTACCTTCCTGCTGAAGCATTACCTACTGATCTACTCACATTTGCATGTTTTCAAACTGCTAGGCTGGCAGAAGCTGGGCCTAACAGCAGGAGCTCACACTGCTCCCCAGATTTAAACCACCGACCTTTCAGTCACAAAGTTTAGCTCAGAGGTTTAACCTGCTGCTCCACCGGGGCTTGAGTTTGTTAGGTTTGTTTTTTATATTAAGAAACATGTTTGTTGTGTTTTTATAAGGGGGATATGATCATTTTGTTTTATGAAATTTGTCTTTCTGTGACTGTCTCATTGAATAAAAGTTACAAAATTCTAGTGTAACACTATAGAAATCATAGCAGCCTACAGAGCTGTTCTGTGTTAGGAAATTAAAAGAACCCCGTGTTCATCTTTAACACACACTTAGATACTAAGAAAATGGATACCTCTAAGTGCTTTGCTGTTACTTTTTTCGATTCTTCTTCTAACTCTTTCTGCCTCCAGAGGTGAGTATTCAAAATACCTTCTTGCAGAAATCTGGCCTTTTGTTCTTGGCAAAGTTGTTGCTGTATATCATTGCGTTCTTCTTCAACCTATAACAACATCTCAATATGAACAAACAACCAAAATTCCACATACACCTTAAAGGCTAGTCACTTTATAATGGCATACACTTTTGCGGACTAGAATGTATTTCACTAAATATAGGAATGTAGTCCTGCACTGGTAAACAAATGGATACACAGAGATATACACCAGTGTAATGTGAAGAGAAATGTGTTGGGGCATGTTGTATCTTCCTCTTTTGTCTCTGAGGAGGAATTGGAAGAGTTGAAGACTGAAGAGGAAGGGGCTGGGAATCTGGGCAGATGGTCAGGCCTGATGAAGAGGAAGAAGAGGCACACTGGTTATTCCTACTTTTCAAGAACACCAAAGGGAGCATCAAGCAAGTCGTAGGTCAGTCAGGATGGCTGAAGGACTTGCAGCAATCAGGTCACTCCCTAGACATGTGCTTTGGGCTGGAGGCTATAAATCAGGAGCAGGAGAAATAGCCACGGGAAAATATATCCAGATTTAGGAACATGCAGTTGATTTAATAAAAGCACATTTCCCCATCTCTTAGCAGCAGCTCTTCAAATTCCTCTAAATATTTTAATCTGCAAAAGCAGGGCAATCCCAAATCCTAAGGCATTCAAAAGAATGCTTTTGACTTTTGGGGGAGGAGAGAGCCCCAACTATAAATCCAAATGCACGCCTTCTACAACAACTCTATTTTAATTTAAACTCACCTGTTTCAGATGATTTTTCAGTGTTCTCAACTCCATTTCAGAACTTCTCAGCATTAACTCAAGCTGTTGTTTTTCCTCCATTTGTTTACAGTATTGCTCCTCTTTATTCCTGGACTGTTCTTGGATTTTTTCATACAACATTTCAGCAGTCATTCTCTTTTCCTCCTCTTGTTTCAAAGAAAACCTGTGGTTTAACAATTTTAAAAATATAGTCATTGATTGGAACTGCTTTCACTATCTTTGTATCAAGCCCTCATAATAGCATGATAGTCTATACATATGGAACTACATGTCTAGGGGACAATCACATGATTTAGAAACTATGAAATTCACAGTGTGTGGACTACATGACTTGACCAACACATTATGAAAGAAGCCCAGACACTGAGAATGAAACATCTTTGTGAGGTGAAGAAGATACCTGCAGATCAGTCATAGTCAAGATCTGAGCATTTGGCAGAGACCAGATACCAAATTGCTATTTGGTAATCCTCATTTGAGTGCTAGTAGTTGTGGAGCTGTTTGTGATTTAAAGTAGAGAGTTGACAGAGAGAGAGAGAGAGGCAGGATGATGAGATAATTTAGGGAAATGGGAGCTGCAGTATTACTTTTATTGCAATGTATCAATTTTATTGCAATATATATTGTTTAATACATAATTATACTGGTTGCCTTCAGTTTTCTTACTCAACTAAAATGTTCTGATCCTGTTACTAAAATACTTTTCCCTTTTAGAGAAAATTCAGGTGTACATTGTTTTTGGACAAAGCCCGCAGTTGAAAGAGTTAGATCATTATCTTCACAAATATTTTAATATTTGTCCTGTGTATCTGTGTAACACCTTCAGATAAATAGATGAGAGTGACTAAAATGATCAAGGGTCTGGAGAACAAGCCCTATGAGGAGCAGCTTAAAGAGATGGGCATGTTTAGCCTGAAGAAGAGAAGATTGAGTGGAGACATTATGACCATGCATAAATATGTGAGGGGAAGTCATAGGGAGGAGGAATCAAGCTTTAAATTACAGGAAAGGAGATTCCGCTTGACAATTAGGAAGAACTTCCTAACTGAGAGCTGTTCAGCAGTGGAACTCTCTGCCCGGAGTCTGGTGGAGGCTCCTTCTTTGAAGGCTTTTAAGCAGATGGCTGGATGGCCATCTGTCAGGGGTGCTTTAAATGCAATTTTCCTGCTTCTTGGAAAGGGGTTGGACTGGATGGCCCATGAGATTGCTTCCAACTCTATGATTCTATCATTTAATAAACTCTTTTAAAACTTTCTTCCTTTAAGATGAAATATTGTAGTATGAGTTCAAATATAGAGAAGAAAACATTTTTATTTCCCTCACCAACAGCTCTTCAACTACTTTTTTCTCTTTGACTTATGAAATTGTACAGGCTCTAACAGTATAACCAAACATAGATATATGTGCTTTGGTTATATCTATCTCAACTCAAATCATTTGTCCGAATTACTATAGCCAGCCAGCTCTTTTCTGCGTAACACTATTTTCCAGATTTTAATAGCAAAGAGTCAACATTTCTGGGTAACTTTGCCTTTCGTACCCCTTTCACATTTTTAAAAAGCAGTAAATCTTGTACCAGAACAGAAAAGTTCTTACTTGAGGCTGCTGATATCACTTTCTCGTTCTAGTTGCTGTTGATCCAGCACAGATTTCATGTCTCTCATTTCTTCCAGTATTCGCTTCTGCTCTTTTTTCTCATTCTCAAGTTTTTTAACTTTCCCACGGAGATGAGTATAGCATCCCTTTTCATGTTCAATTAAACGTTCATATTCATGGAAAATATTTTGAAGTTTTAGGAGGTCTACAGAATCTGTTTTGGAAAAATATTGTAGTACTATATAAACCCGAGACCGAAGACTGGAGACCTCGGTATACTCCTTCTATACCTGGGACATCGTCCTCTTCCACCGAGCGCGCAGCTTCGGAAGGGACGCACATAGAGCGGTGAGGGAGGAAGGGGACACCCGCCTAGCCAGCCAGATCAGCCAAATCAACCCTGGCGATCAATGGGGTGACAGATGTCGCAGCCAGATCGCCCTCACATCCTTATAGTACTATATAACTTTTACAAACATATTGGGCAAATATTTGTATTTTATTTCAAAGGCCAATGCTGACAAGGCCCTACCATGGTTTCTATTTTATTTCGAAAGGCTACATAGTAACTATAGTCCTGAGAGGTGAATACAAATAAAATTCCTGGAGAGTCAAAATCACTGCCATGTTTAGAGCAGGGTTGTATTTGTGCTTGTGAATTTTTCCCAGCACTTCGGCAAACCAGGGAATTCATACACACACTTGGGTAACAATGTCTGTGTGAAACACTAGACATATTCTGAGAGACAGGTACTGTACTGGGTTTTTCACACATTAAAAAAATAAAAGCAGCTACCACAGAGATTTAATATGAGAAGGCTATACGTGATGTTTTCTGAACTAATCTTGCACCGGGATTGTGGCGCAGCAGGCTGAGTGTCAGCTGCATTAAGATCATCTGACCAAAAAGGTCATGAGTTCGAAGCCAGCCCGGGTTGGAGTGGGTTTCCAACCAATTGTGGTAGCCTGTTGTCGACCTTTGCAACCCGAAAGACAGTTGCATCTGTCAAGTAGGAAAATAAGGTACCACCTTAAAGTGTGGGGAGGCTAAATTAACTGATTTATGAGGCCATAAAGAAGACTCCAGCAAAGCATTCCAGCGGGGAAGCATGCGGGGAATGCGGAAGTGCTTCATCAGCGTCGCAGATGGACGATGAAAGCGACAGCTCCCCTGGCGGCCAGAAAAAGTTAAATAGCCTCTGTGTATGTCTGTATATGTTGTATGTTAAAATTGGCATTGAATGTTTGCCATATATGTGTACACTGTAATCCGCCCTGAGTCCCCTGCGGGGTGAGAAGGGCGGAATGTAAAAGCTGTAAATAAATAAATAAATAATACACTTCCAGTCTAAATTCAACAATCAGATGATAACATTTCAAGTCCTAAATGGCTTGAGACTTCCATACTTGGGAACTATGTGATGCTATAGACTGTAAAATAGATGCATGTATTTGATAAATATATTTAAAAATCCCCAAAACAAACTTTGATTTTGCCATTTTATATAAAGGATACCATTTACTACACCATTGTATATGATGGGAGTTGAGTATCCAGGGATTTTGATATCCATGGGGGTCCTGGAACCATATCCTAGCAGATATCAAGGGCCCACTGTACCTTAATTAAAAATATACCTGTATATATGTGTATTCACATACACACATATGTATATGGATAATTTGGCACTCAAGCGTTCTAACTGGAGGTAACCTGTAACCAACAGTGCTATGTATTCTGAGGAGGAACAAATAGCGAAAGGAAGAAATATGCTATATTTTGAAAAGAGGCCAGGATGGAATTACTGATTAGACAAGGTACCAGTCAGTGTAAATCTTTGAATCTTCCTCTTTGCATAGTTAATTTCGATGCAACATTATGAACACTAATGTTTAAAACTGCATTCAGAAAAAAATATGTTGGCATTGCTAATTATTACATCAGCATATGTTACTAAGTGATTCCAGATATATATACTTATTATGTATTTATATTGCTTTCAAACAAAATCAGAAAGTTTGGAAAAGGCAGAGGATAAGTTCACCTTTATTATCCAAATTAAGTTGTTCCATCAACATCACAGCTTCTCTTGTGACGAAAGCAGACAATTCATTATCCTCTGTAGTTGTATCTGAAGACTGTGTTGAGTCATCAAAATCATGCGTAATAACAATTCCTCTTTGGAGCTGTGAAACAACATATAATCGTACAGAGTAAAACACCACTGTTTGTCTGTTTTTGCATCCTTAATGAATTTTCTGATCCACATAATGTATAAAGTGTCTTTGGCATAAAGACTAAGAAAAGTAAAGCAATAATTATTTGGGAATACAATAAGTAATAATGATTAATAAATTGATAAATAATCATATAGTTTAGAATTTAGTAATTTAATAATAAATATTTAATTAAGATAAATTAACCTATATTTAGGATTTCAAGCATGTAGTAGTGGCTTGATAGAGTTTTCATATTGATCAAACTCAATTTGTGGACTAAATGCAACAAGAAAAAAGCAGACCTGTCCTTGCATCTACCACCACGCATTAAGGACCATGCTTAGCAGGCATGTCCCATTTTCTCTGTCATGTAGGAAAAGGGGTCCTGTTTAGACATAACTCATGATCTGGCTTTAAATATACAAGTTAACTGTAGTTAGCTTGCTAGGCAAAACGCTATACTTTTTTAGTCCACTTCCATTTCTAAAAAAGTATCTCTAGAAACTATTGACAACATAACAGCTTCTATATTGAAAATGACTGGTTATTGCTAGGGAGCAGTGTAATAAGGCACTCTGCTTATTTTGCATCTCTCAGAAAGTATTTATAGGATTCTTTTCCACCAGGCCAGAATATCATCTACCATTTTAAACAATCTTTCATTTGTCAATCTGGATACTACCATAAATGATGATTAAGAATCTTGGTCAATAGTGTATTACCTAAAAAATGTGGTATAAACACAAAAAATTGAGGAGCCCTGGCACTCAAGCGTTCTAACTGGAGGTCAGCTGTAACCAACAGTGCTATGTATTTTGAGGAGGAACAAATAGAGAGCGAAAGGAAGAAATATGCTAAGGTGTATCAAGCAAACCCAAGTGCCTTTCATCTGGAAATCGATCCTCACTGCAGAAGATCATGCAGATTCTGAATAGGTCTATACAGTTGCTTACAGACCCACCACCAAGACTTTATTTACCCTTGGAAGGCAATCATATTCAGCCAAGAATGTCTGCTATGATGATGACTTGAACTGAACCACTGTGCCTTTTTGCTTCTGAAGTTGGTAAAAATACTATTGCCACTCATACTTCTACAGCATATATAGAACTTAGATCAAATATTTTGGTAGCATACAATACCTTTTTCTTTTCATTCACAGTTTTGGCTACATCCCTGAAAATTAAACAAAAAAACCCTTATTAACAATAGATTTTCATGTAAATTTCTTTGACTTTGAAAATGTAGAAACATTCTATACTGCTAATGTTTAGACCTTTAAAAAACCAAATCTGCAACACACTAAAAAAAAGCATTGCTGAGGTACAATCTAGACATAATGCAGAATATTTTCTAAGATCTCTATGAATCTCTTCATATCTAAACAGATGGGAGGTGCTACAGACAAAGGAAAGCACAATAAAATAAAAGGTTAAATAATAATCTTAGGTCACCTTTTTGTTGTTCTTAAAAGCAGTCAAACAAGGCTGTATATAATTAGGAGATATCAAAACAAAAATTCCTAGAAATATATAAAATGTCTTTTACGTGGACAGACTACTATCTAGACTAGTATTGATTCTTCTGACTGGAAACACCTTTCAGGGATCATAGGCAGAAGTCTTTCATATCACATGATACTGAGGATGCCGAGAATTGATTCATCTGTAGACCAAGTGTATGTTCTATTACTGACTCATCATCTGTCCAATATAATCACACATCTCTTCTATCACATCCAGTTTAGTCCAGAATTGCACTACAGGACTACAGGATTACAAGTAATATTTGTCCAAAACCATGTCAATTAAGTACTGAAAAGCTGGATGCAACAAACTGTTTCTCAAAATACTAAAGATAATGAATCTATACAGATAAAGATGTACTTCTGCCTTTGATGTTTTTACACTTACAATTTTGACAAAGCTAATCTGAAAATCATTTTTATCTCTTTTCCTCATAATTCCTAAACCATTTCACCTACCTCACACCAGCATGACTTCTCTGTTTGTTTTTAGTAATATCCGAAAATCCCCATGAAAAATAATCTCAGCCAGAGAGTACATACTTGGTTAATACAGATATTGCTCGTCTAAATGCATTACTGGCTCATTCCACACGAGGTAAGTCTATAAATGAAAGTTTTTATTTTAAAATCATGATTATGCATACCCTTCATCTTCCAGAGATGCTTCACTCAAACTGCTGTCATCCTGTAATTGACGAAGTTTGCCAGTGACCTCCTGATCAACTCTTTGCTTTAAAATTGGTCTTTTATTTCCACCTTTTCTTACTTCCTTTGCACTGGCAACAGGATTTTTCCTGAAATGAAACAAGAAACCTGAATCAGAGCTGTAAGCCACCTTGAGTCCCCAAAGGGGTGAGATAGGCAGGGTAGAAATAAAGCAAATAACAATAAATAAATGATCAGAATCAGTTCAGTTGGTGGAAGATGAAAGTTATTTTAGCCTAATTCAGTTTTCTTTAAGTCATGAAAAAAAGGCAAAATACATTGAGAGAAATATATTTTTCATTCAGTTGTCATTTTTCACTATCTACAAAATGCCCCCAGTTGACCAAGTAAATTACTACCACATTTATTTGAGTCCAATTCTCACCTTTGTTGGCAAAACTGGGTGCACATTAGATTCAATGTTGTATCAGAATTGCCCACAAAAACCCACCTGCATGAAAAGACCCAGAGGGAACTGGAGGCAAGACATGGAGGTGGTGATGAGAAATGGCTATTCCTGATGATGGAGGCAGCCTCAGGGCTCTGTGGCACCCAAAGGAGGAGGATCACCCAGCTAGCGACCCAGATGTTGCTCAGCTGTGGTTCCTGCCTCTTGGGTGGCCTCAGGGGTTTCTTGCCTGCTCCTCCCTAGGCTGTCCTATGTGGCTCCTAACTGACCTCATTCACAAGGCCTTCACAACCACCCCCTCAATTTTAAAGTTCTCATGAGTGAGGCTAATTGGGAATTGTTGGCCTGACGGATAGACATGGATTCTCAAATGGCCTCATTCATGCTGTCTGCCTCCCTGATGTGCTATATTTGAGCTGATGGGAGCATTACATTCAAGGGCAAATCCATTTTTGTTATGCACACTTTCAAAACTGAGATGCACATTACATTTGATGACATATTATACTCAAGTAAATATGGTAGTAGAAGGTCTTTTGGCTGCCAAGGTGATCTCAATGACAACCTCATCATATCCTTCCACCTTTTCCATTCAACCTCCAAGCATGTAACTGTAATCAGCCTGGACTGAAATGCAACAGATGGAGTAGGTCTGGCCAAGGTGATAGAAGCTAACTCTCCTGAACCTGCATGGTGATATCTCAGACACCAAGGTAGATGAGAGGAAAAAAGTTATGTGACTATTAAACAAGTTGATTAATATCACTTTTCATACTCACCTCTGAGAAGAAATTTGCATAAATCGCTCTCGGTCTGGTGAGAAAATCCTATTTATAACCTGGCTTTTTTCTGTCTTTTTCTGTCCTTCTGTTCTAATATACTGGTTTTCATTTACTGTAGGCATCTGCTCTATTTTCTGTTCAGTTTCTACATCCACCTTTTGTCCAGTATTTGCAGCTGCTTTTCCCCCGTCAGCTTCCAATCCCTGCTTTCTTTTTTCTTCCTCAACCTAGGAAAAATAGTCATTATATATTTGTGAAAAAGTACTTAGAACACAAAGCAAACACTCCCACTCTTCAAAAGAAAACAGCCACTCACTTCTAAAGCTAAAGAGTTAGTATTATATAAAAGAAGGTAATGAGGGAGAAAATAACTATTAGTGTAAAAGAAAAACACCAATAAAACACCAATGCTTTAACTGTGAAGAAAAGATAGATTCTTCACAAGTGACTAAATGGGCTTTAAAAGAATAACTCATACAAAGGATAAATGTTTCACACAGCAAAGTGAAGAGTGATAAGCAAGAATGAAAGTAAATGGAAAGATGAATCAATAACCTATTCAAATCCTGATTTCATACTTTGGACCAAATGTATAACCAGTACATAAATTGGTGCAGTTAATTTCTTATAAAGTAGCATCCATTTAAAATATGAGCTACTTGAAATCTTTTTCTGTTAGCATTAAATTTCTTAATTCTCAATATGTTACAATCACACCACACAGATTAGATGGAAAGCATATATACTACGACCCTCCTTACCCACAGGACTAGTACTCATAGTTTCACCTACACGCATACAACAAAGTATGTTCTCTCTGGGCATTTTGTAGGAAGCTGTTCATTTCAGTTGGGTTCACACTATAATCCAGTTTCATGTTTCGACAGTATGTTCAAGAAAGTGTCCCCTGCTGATATGGGGGTCGTACTATATAAAGTTTTCCTTCCTGATTTATATTAGAAGCATAGTATAAAGCCGACACAGAAAGAAGACTTTATAATGAATACTGAAGAGCTGAAATGCACAGGATGACTGAGGTGGGAGAAAGACCAAAGAATGGAAAGCAGCAGGTACATCTCTACCTCTTTTTGCAGCTGGGCCTTTTCTCTTTCCAAAGCCAGGAACACTACCTGCAGCATTCCTACCTCATTCTTAAATCTTGCAACATCACGTTCTAATTCTTCATCCAGCTGTTGTTTTGATGTTTGACAGCAAGTTTGTACAGACTTTTTCACTTGGTTTCCAAACTCAGTATCAAAACATTTACAACTTCTGACACCATTATTAAAATAGTGCAGAGAGTCTTCATTTTCCCCATTTGTAGTCTCATGATCGCCAGTTGGGTGTTTTAAAACGGGTGTTTTACAAAATGTACTTGAAGTGTCTCTACAACTGTTCACTGAAGAAGAATCTGGAATTATTTCTGAAGCTATGGCATTCCTACTCATATTGTTTTCCAGTTGTATACATTTAGTGTCATCTTTTTCATCTACATTTGTTCCCATTTCTTCTGCATTATTAGGCAATACCTCATGTGTTTTTAGATTTTGTTTGACATTATGTCTTTTATTTTCACACATTTCAAAAAATAGCTCTTGAGAAACAGAATTTTTAGAGCATAAAATGGAGTTTCCGGTATTTATTTCTTTTTCTGCAATAACAGGCTGTAACAGTCTAATATCCTCATTTCCTGGTATATCAACTGCAGCTCTGGACAGATGAGATGGTGATGATTCTTTTATATCCTCTGAGAAACCATTGGGGCCATCTTGCAATTGTCCTTCAACCCCAGACTTACTTTTATTCTCCATTATATTGATTTCACCAAACATCTGCTTTAGTTCTGCTGTAATTGTCTTAAAATGAGATTTGACTTCCTTTTTTTCATTTGCAACCCACATTTTTTCATATCTTTCTTCCCAAAGTGCCGAATCAAAATGACTGCTTTCATTGTCTGGTTCCACATTGTGATTTACTGCTCCAATTTTCTTTTCATCACAAGCATATGGAATCTCTGCCTTGTCAGTCTCTGTTTCAGGTGACAAACTTTTTAGGGAGTTGTGTGTATCTAATATGCTTTTTTCCTTATACAAGCAAGTATGAATAGAGAGAAATTAACAAAAATAATCAACATTTTAAATTGACTCTATGAATTTACAAAAAAGATTATATTCTCTTATCTTCAGGAGTAATAAAAATTGTTTAGTTTGTTTTGCGGGGTAGGGGGGCAAAGTTGAAGGACAACAATTTTCCCTGTTTTCCCTGGTTATTCCCCCCTTCACTTCCCATGTCATAAACAAGGATTATTTCCATAACTGCAATATGGGCGGCAGCGGCAGGGGAACAGGAAAACAGGGAGAAATTGTTTTCCTCCTTCAAATTACCCTCCACCCCTATAAAATGGACTAGCCTTCTCTGTCTAGGCCAGGGGTCCTCAAACTTTTTAAACAGAGGGCCAGGTCACAGTCCCTCAAACTGTTGGAGGGCTGGATTATAATTTTTTAAAAAATGAATGAATTCCTATGCACACTGCACATATCTTATTTGTAGTGTAAAAAACCACATAAAAACAATACAATAATTAAAATGAAGAACAATTTTATCAAATATAAATTTATTAGTATTTCAGTGGGAAGTGTGGGTCTGCTTTTGGCTGATGAGATAGGATTGTTGTTGTTGTTGTGTGCTTTCGAGTCGTTACAGACTTAGGTTGACCCTGAGCGAGGGCCAGGTAAATGACCTTGGAGGGCCACAGCCAGCCCCCGGGCCTTAGTTTGAGGACCCCTGGTCTAGGCCCTCTTTGGGCTCCACCCAGATAATGAAACAGTACCAGTATGTATTATTAAGAATAACAAATTTATATTTTAACAGTACATGATTGCTTTCTTCAACAAAGAATTTTTTTTCAAACAATGTTTCCAACATTATTATATTTCTGATATAGATTTCCTATCTTGTGCAGACAGAGGGTTGAGTAGTTTGAAGAAAACCCATCCACTCCTATACTGACTTTTGGGATGTTATGATATACAAATTAGCCCTTATCTGGCAAACATCATGTCTTGGGCAGGTTATGGACATACTGCAGATTACATATTTCAGGCAAAGCCTATACATTGCCACTAAGCCTACCAAGTCTTTAGAGTTCCTATACAAGCGAGTCACATATACCAACTTGCAAAATGCCTATGGAGACATTCAGGATATCCTTCCAGTCGTGAGTTGTTACTGCTCAGACTAACAAAGCTATGCCTTTAAATTCTACAAATATTTTCAAAAATAAATTCATACTTCACCCACCTCTTCCTCTATGGGGGAAAGGTCATAGAAATGTGTAGAAATCATAGCGACTAAAGACCTCTAGAACATTTTCACTTAGGTAAACACTACTCAATAATAATTATAGAACTTTTTTATATATACTGTCCTATCTCTCTGAACAGACTCAGTTCAGCTTTTCGGAAGTATCAGAAAATTCATAATTACCATACAATTCATGTTTCTGTGTATGCAGTATGAGTGTTGCTTCTAGACGTATAAGGATGGTGTTGGAGGGCATTGGAATATATAGTATTTGGGAGTTAATTGAAAGGGTAAGAAGTATCAAAATAAACTGGAAGAACATAGAATTTGTGCCTTTAACTCTGTTTTGAGGTGCCTGTATAACTCAAAGGATTAAATTAACAATAATTTCAGATGCACAGTAATACTTGATAGCAACAGACAAATTCAATTTGCAATACACCTACCTTGTTTTCATCCTCTTCCAGTTCTCCATTGTCATTTTGTTCATCATACTGCTGGCCTGCAAAAATACTGAATGAGCATATTTGTGTTTGGATGCCTTGCAGTAGCGCAAGGTTTTGATCTCTCATCTAAACTGTGAAACGCCAGGTTTGCACACCTTGAAGATTTCCAATCACTTTATCTTGTGGGTTTGTTTGAATCTGTTTTTAACCTAGTTTTAAAAATAATTTAAAATGATGTTTGATTACTTCTACGATCATTAGATAAAGAGCAAAATATAAATATTTTGCTTAATAAATGATCTGGGAACAGATAAAGAGAACCAGGTTATTCTTTAAAAAAAAATAAAATAAGAACTCCCACTTAAATGAACAGGGTGTAATATTCAAATATATGTTGATAAGAGGCAGCATTCAAAGCTCAGCCACAAGGAGTCTGTATCAATAACAAGTGCACTCCTGGGTTCCTTTAAAACACAGATGGTTTTATTTTATAAATAGCAGAACCAGTTATATATATATATGGGATGAATATTGTTAGCCCAGTATAACAATATTCTTAAAAAATAAAATTAAGGCTGCAACTATTTTTCTCAGAAACTGTAATCTATTTCCCTTCCTCCCTCTCCAACTGCCTACCTTGCTGTCCTATTTTGTTCCAGCTCCCACTCCACTACATTGTCTCCCATCTCCTTAGCAACCCATGACACTCACTTCATTTTATCCACCCTACCATCTGACTTCTGCATATCAGGTTTACCTTAATAGATTAAAAACAACTGGTAAAAAGCTATCTAATTCTGAACCTTGAAATTCCCAACTTTTAGGTGGTTTCGCTACAAACAACAGGATATCTTTAGTGCACAGAAGAAGAAAAAAGATTTTGTAAAAAAATGTTGTCAGTTACCTTTTGATGCAACTTTCAGAACATCACTTTCTGCTCTTGAAGGAACATGAGTTTCAGTTACACCAGCAGCTTTTGCTAATTGTAAAGGAGATCTATGTTCTCCCACCGTAAAGATGTGATAGGATTTAGCGTAAGGAACACTCTTAAGTGACAGGCTGGTAGAATCCCAGTCAGATGCATCTGAAATTATCAGGACATCAAAATATGTAAACAAAAAACCTCAACAATATATTTGCATTCTTTAGAATGCAGACTATAACAGTCTGCATTTCTGTTAATATTTTAAAGTTTATTAACAGAGAAATCTACAGTCTGCTAATGGTAGCTAAACAGAATTCATATGAATTCATATGAGGTATTCAGTTCATATGAATTCATATGAATATTTGTCTTTTCAAAATTACTTTAGGGATTTCAATGATCAGATTTGGATAGAGAGTTATGGAGGGCATTTCGGATGTCTTTTCTTCAGTGGAGACACAAAATTTAACTACTGTTATTTCTGAGTTCACTCTATTATGGTCAATGACCAGTTCGAGAAAAGAAGGACATAGTCCTATACAAGCATATCTGAGTTAAGGGTTAAGAAATTTCATACTTTAAAATAAGCATATAATTGTTAGGACATTAAGATAATTAACTTAAGAACCTAAGCTAAAAGCCATATACAGAATGGTATTAAAACCTAACACAATTTATGGAATCAAAGCGAAGGGAATCTAAAGGGAGGAAGCACAGTGTAAGCCATCCTGAGTCCCCCTTTGGGGGTTGAGAAGTGACGGGATACAAATCCAGGAAATAAATAAATAAATAAATAAATAAATAAATAAAATGTGACACATGGAAGGGAAGTCCTGTCAAACAGAGGAGGGGGCAACATCCATACTATAATTAAAAGACTGTAATCCTAATTTTCTGCTAGTATGAAATTCTGGCTTGTCCTAGCTTGTACTATCAGTCATCGACCACCGGACTTTAATTGCTGCCATGCAGAACTTGGCAGCATTCTAAGTTATAGCTGAGTTAGTGTCTGAAGGCAAGAGAGAGATGTAAAATTGTGCAGAGTGTCCTAGGTGTTTGTATAGCCATGAAATAATGAGACGGGATCGAATATCTCTATAGAACAGGCACCGAAGAAGCACATGTCTCTCAGAGTACAGTCTCTCCGAGTATGGGGTTTTCCAGTAGCAGCCTTCCATATAGCAGATGGGGGGGGGGGCATGGCATTGTGCCAAAGTGAAGGCCCCCTGATGGCTGGTAACCTCCAGCATGGTTAGATATTTCATGGGGAATGTACAAAACTGTTGTTTCTAAATTTTGGAAATTCTGGGGAAAGGGAAATAGAGTAGTTTTATGTACTTTATTAGAGATTTAAGATTGCCGGCACATTGCACCTACCCTAAAATCCTTACATTTACCTGTCATGTCCAGCACTTTTAATTTTTATTCATTACATTTGGCCCGGCCCTAGTTTTAACTGTGTCATTATGTTATTGTTTAATGTTTATTGTTATTGCTTAATGTTTATTGGTTTGCTTGAGTTTTATTGTGTACTTGTTATGTTGTTGTTTTATTGAGGGCCTTGGCCTTTGCAAGCCGCACCGAATCCTTCGGGAGATGTTAGCAAGGTACAAATAAAGTTAAGTTAATAATACTCATTTCACAGTATTGAAGAAAGGATTTGTGATACCTAACTCTATGCAACAGGCAAAAACAAAAATAAGAATGACCAAGTACCTTCAATATCATCTGCATCATTTAAACCAAGTTCTTCCATTAAATCTGAAAGGAGAACACATAGAAATGCTTTGACTGAACAAAAAGGTTAAAACAAATTTCCACCCCTCCCAACAAGTTGTTTTATCAAACATTACCTGATTTTTGCTTTTCTTTGCTCTCTATCTGATTTAAAGGATGAGAAGAAGTAGCATGTTGCAGAACTGTGGTAGCAGTTTCTAGCTAGAAAAAAAAAATCCAAAAGAGTAAGAACATCTGCATTTTCTTACAGGGAATTTCTGCTCTCTAGGAAAACTCACAACCGGGAGCAACTGATAAATAGGTCAGTGTGGTCTTTGTCCACCACTTGTGGCCTTTTGTAATGCCAGCTCAAAAAATAGCAGCAACTGTGGTTCTTTGGTGCTTCTATTCCATACAAGGAATGCAAAGGAGGTTGGTGGTTTTTTATAGATTCTCCCCAAAAGAACTGTGCTCTTGTCCTAATCTTCCTAGGCAGAACCCAAAAGACAAATGGGGAGGGGATCCCCCACTGCTGCAGGTGGAAGAACAGCTGTTTTGTTGTCAATTGTCTACCTTCTCTGGATCTTTTTCACAGCCCTACTGCCCACTCTTGGTTTTTCATAGCTGGCCCATATGCAAAGTTGAGCAGTGAAAAGTTGGGAAAGGCAGAGGGATCCAGAGAGAATGATGACCATAATTGAGCCCACTTTCAGGCTGGCCAGCTGATGAGGTAATAAAAGCCAGTTGAGAGCAAAAGAGAAAAAGTAGTTAGTACTGGCTCCTGCACTGCCAGACAATGTCTGCTTCTTGTGGAAACAGTGAGCATAAAATCAGCAGTGGTGACAGAGCAATATTTGGTGAGTTCCTTGTCTGAAGAGGCAGCAAGACCTCAATCCAGAATACCCATGCTGGTCCCTGAAGAAACAGCTCACTTGCCTATCTGCCTGCCAGCCAGCTTTCTTCAACAATAATCCTCAAGCAGTTGTTTCAGCTTAAAGGAAGCACCAAAGAGCCACCACTGGCACAATTTTCCTGCCCTGGAACTCAAAAAGGCCCGAAGCAGCACCACAAACTCCATCTACTAATGTGGGATGAAGTAATCTCCTAGTTTTTGCCAAATTACTCAGAGAAGGGCTTTTATTTTTATATGGGTTCCTACTGAATCTTAACTTTTGTTGAAAAAGTGGCAAAAGGCCTGAGTTCGAAAATGGAAACAGTAGAACAGCAGGCCTTGAGGTGGTGTTGGCGCTTTTGCTTCTCTGTGGAATGGTTCTGAGGAGATCTGTGTTAAACTTCAAAGTTTAATCCTTAAATTACCCACAGGGCACATCAAAATCCATAATTCTGGCCCCCAACCCTGTTCTTGACTTACACAGGAGATTGACTAATACACCAGTATACACAGCACATGGGAGCAGAAAAAGCAACTACAAGTCAATTGTTCACTAAAAGCTTAAGCAGCTCCATCACTTTACTAGGCTGCATATAAAGTTCACTTGTCATTATATGAACAAGATTAACATTGATCCCACTGGTCCATTCTAGCTTCTGTATTTCTGTTAAGGAAGTGAACTGTGAGAAGACAACTTAAATGGGCCCTGAAGAAAATGAGTTTTACCCCTTCAGTAAAGAGAATGTGGTAGCCCATTCCTCAGATTTAGGAGAAAAAGCAGAGAGAGTGAAAAATAAGAGGAAAGGGAGGGGGGAAGCAAAAAGAAGCAGCACTATTAACTTGAGCTAGGTCCTCAGAAGCTCCAACTTCAGTCACTACTAACAGAGCTGGTCTGGAGATCTGGGTAACTGCTTTTCCTAGAGAAGCAAATCTATATGCTACGCTCACATATTCCAGAAAAAAAATCATTAGAATAATCTCTGTGGAACCTTTGGAAAACAAAAAATATATATTTAAATTAGCATATTGGTGTTAATATAATTAGAGCTATATTTACCTTTATATTCTTTGAATTCCCTAGAATGTCAAGAAAATGAATTAGTGATAGTAATAATAATGCACTGAAAAATTCAGTAATTATTAATTGTACTGAACACCTATAGAAACACTTTTCACTTTTTGAAATTTTCCTGCTTATTAGAATAAAAAGTGCTAGTATCTACCACATAATCCACATGTCAAGGTACTGAAAATTATATATGGAGGACATTAAGTATGATATTATGTGCAAGCTTAGTGAGAGTAAGTACCACTTATAAGAATGAAACAACTGTTTTAACTACAAATTATTCATATTTTTGGCTTCTTGAACATACATTTTGGCTTGAAAATCTCAAAACAGAGTTGAAACTATAGAAAGATAATATCTATACACAGCACAGTGAAACTTTTCCTTAAGAGTTAATTCATTCCATGACTTAACTCTTAACTCAAAACATTCTTATCTCAAAGCAAATTTTTCCATTGCAATGCCATTAACCCGTTCTGGCCTCCTGACCCCTCCCCCCATTTTTGTTATGTGTTTTTAAATAAGAAAATGTACTCTATAAATAACAAATAATGTATAAATGCACATTCAAATGGAACAATAAAAAAGAAAGATAAACTTTAAGATGGTAGAAGCACAAAGCGAAGAGGCAGAAGCATCATTTTCTTCATATAGTACTTATTCCAGTCTCCCTCTAAACTCAAAATGCTCTTAAGTTGGGATGCTCTTAAGTAGAGGTTCCACTGTATCTTGTATTGTACCCATTTTATGAGAGGCAGTATGGTTTAGTACAAAGAAGTCAAACACATTTTCAATGAGGGCCAAATCTGCTTTATGGTTGTTTTCAAAGGGCTGGTTGTAATTGTAAGTGTATAAATGTAACTATGTTACTCTGGCATTGAAAGCCTTGTGGGCCACATAAAATTGGCCCATGAGTCTTGGTTTTGACACATGTGGTGCAGTGGTTTGAGCATTGGACTATGACTCTGCAGATCAGGATTCAAATCCCTATTTGGCCATGGAAACCCACTAGGTAATCTCTGGCAAGTCACAGTCTCTCAGCTTTAGAGAAAGGCAAAGAAAGCCCCTCTGAACAACTCTTTCCAAGAAACCCACATTATAGGTTCATTTTAAAGTCACCATATGTCGGAAATGTCTTGAAGGCACACAGCAACAACAAAACATTTTGTATATGATAGGGTTTCATTTTCAAACACTTTGTTTATTTGTAAAATATTATATGTGAAGACCATTGTAAAAAAACAAACATGGTAGGCAACAAAACTATTATGAAAATCTTACTGTCACATGGCTCTTCTGTAATACTGTGCATGTATGTCCCATTTTTGGCAGGTGATGCTGGCAAGGAACTGACAGCTGACTTTCTGGGGCTTTCGGTAATACACTATTGGAAACAAATAAAGAAGATAGATGCTTCTTTATTTATAAAGAAGAGTTAACAATCTATGCATGCCTAAATTGCTAGTTTGCACGTTGACTTCTTGATTGTTTCTTCTCCTGTATCCACTCTCCTTCTCCATCCTTTTACCTGAAATAATTTTACCTCTTCTTCTGTCTTTTCTTCATTAGAACATGTGCTCAACTATACTAAATGTACATCATTTGCACCATTTTCCAAACTCTAACAGTTTCGACATTCAGAATTGCATTACTCTGCTTGTGAGATCTATTATTATTGGTCACATTTTACTAGTAATACAAAACTTGCTCAAGTTCAACTCTTCCATTGAAAAGACATACATCTGTAACACAAATAATCTTTCAAGCTCCTTTTATCAAGATATAGACTTCAAAAAAGCACCTGATAATAAACAGTTAAGGCAACAGGCTTAAACCAAAGTATTTTCTTCAAAGCCAAGTAACCTACCTCAGAATCCCATGGAGATTCTGTACCCCTGTCCTGGTCTTCTTTATGCATGCCTACTACTGCTGTAACTAGGAAATAAAAGATCATATTTTATTTACAAAAGATTATTTTTTTCTTTTTACAAAAAAAATTGTAGTTGAGTGCAACTGGTTGCTAGGCAAACAGCTATTTCATTACTACTGTACCTCCCACCCTATGTTAGATTGCACACTTTTGCCCCTTTGCCAGCCACAATTTAGCTCCAAGGTATATTTCATTCATTCTTTCCTTTTCTAAAAAGGACTACATTACTACTTTGTGCAACAAATTTATTAAAACTAATTGCATTTACCATTCCTAATGGCACCATCTTGTGAAGAATTCCAATTTTGAGAACTTTCATTACAAGGCATTTTTTTATCTGAAATTTTCCCATCTTCCTCTTCACTATCCTCCTCCTCTTCCTCTTCTTCCTCCTCCTCCTCTTCTTCTTCTGAAGATTCATCCTAAAATCAGAAACCACATTAATTGCTGATATTATGTTTTCACTTATGTTTTGTACAATGTAGGACTATTCTATATGTTATTACTTGGGAGAAAATCCGACAAAAATCAGTAATACAACTAGAGAAGTATAAGACAACATTTATAGTCCAGTGCATTCCCAAATGCGATATTATGTACTTCCATCTTACATGCATCAGTTCGGAATACAGCCATAGAAAACGTTTGCTTTTAAAATACTGAATACAAATTGTAGAAGACTGTAAATAATTCAGCATTTTTGGTTACTTCTCTTATTTTTATTAATAGTAAGTATGGAGATTGTTTTATGTGTACTTGTATTGTTTTTCACTGAAAACAAGTAAAATAGATAATAAAATAAGTAGAAGCAAAGTATCACAGAAGCACGCATTAAAGACACTGAGTGCTCAAATGAAGTGGTCCTTCAAGGACTCTGAATTAAGAAGCATGCAGAACTTTACAGACCAAGATCAATGCCTTGGAACAAAACTGACTGCAAGTGTAAAAAAAAAAGTACCAAAAAGCACTATCAAGAACTCTCTTAAAGAAAATGATAACTGTATGAATCTTGGATTGTATTATTCTCTTATGATTTAGTTAGTAAATATCTACCTTTTATTAAATGGATTTTCCCATCATATTAGATTCACTTACACTGATATCATGTGGAACAGCTTTCAGATTTTCCTCAGTATTTTCATTTTTGTGTAGCAATGATTCGTTTACTGTTTCTTGAAGTTCTTTAATTTCTGTATATAGTTTGTCTGCAATCTTTTGACAATACACAAAATCAGTATTCTCCAAATTCTGTTCTTTAGTATTGTTATCTGTAAGCTCTGCCTCTGAGTCAGAACCATGATCATTTTTAATACTTTCATCTAGATTTGAATTCATTTCATTGTTATGATGGCTATTTAAGAAAACTTCAGCTTCTGCTAATCCTGTTCCTTCAAAAGCCTCCAAAGTAGTAATAACAGTAACATTGTTGTGAAGTTCTTTTTGGATGTCATCTTGAATTTTGTCATTTCTCTCAATATCTTGTAAATCATTTAGATTTTCAAACTGATCTTCATGTTCACTATTATTCTCCTGTTCAAATGAATGACCCTGCAGTTCACACTTAACTTTTTCATGTGAATTTTCATTTTGCTCAGCAATAAAAGACATCAGCATATCATCTGATTCTTGCATTTCTTCATCTTGTAATTTGTTTATTTCACAATTGTTCTTAGAAAGATTTCCTTCCACCATCAGTTCATCATGCTCAATAATGTCTCCTTTTTCTAGTTTTTCAAATGATTGCTCCCTTCCATTTTTTATCTCGCACTGTCTTCCTACTTCTATGTTTTCATCTTTCTTTTCTTCGCTGAAATCTTCCATTTCTCCCCCCTCCTCCTCCTCTTCTTCATCTTCTTCTTCTTCCTCCTCCTCTTCTTCCTCCTCCTCTTCCTCATCTTCTTCCTCCTCCGCCTCCACCTCCTCTTCCTCTTCGTCTCCCTCTTCTTCTTCCTCCTCCTCCTCATCTTCCTCCTCCTCCTCAATTTCATCCTCCTCGTTACTTACAGAAGAATCATTTGGATTATTAAATTCTTCTTTATTGGGATTAATATCTTTTTGAGATTCTGCTTTAATGTTTTCTTTTAGTGACTGGTCATTCGCATTTTCATTGTCTGCGCAGAATAAAATGTGGATATAAAAATACATAAGATAAAACAAATGACTAGTTGAAATTTGTGAATAAAAATTATTACCTGCTTAGAGCTCAAGTGAGCCACCATCTGGGAGCATTTGGAAAAGGAGCCAGGTGAGGAATGGCTAGGCTGAGGGAAGGATTTGACTTGGAACAAAGGCTTAGGAAGGGATTCATTGCCATCTCCAGCTTCACAATCTGATTTAATTTCTATATGTTCTGTTCTCATAATGCTACTTTTCATATCTACTACATCAAAATATAAAACACACACAATTATGAACAAAAGAAAATATTTAAAATCCATTGTTTCATGTAAGAATGTCAAAAGTAATAAATCAATTTTAAGCAACTTACAGCTTTTCTTCAGTTGCTGAGAAACATTCATTAGGTGAGCCAAACTTGGTTTTTGTAATTTCTAGAAATAAACATTTAAGCACATTAAGTTTTATCTCCAGAAACCATTTATGAATAACCTTCCGTTCCAAGATCTTATGGTGACAAACATATCCATTATCCACATTTTATTCTACATTTAGCATATATAATAAGTTGAGAAACAGTGACAGGCACGGTACCACTGAAAATGTGTGCTTTTGTCTTTCTGATCTCACACCAATATTGTCCAATGGGGAAAATATATAATATCAACACAAACAAGTTAACACTTGTTCTCCACAAAAACTTGTACACAAGAAGCAGGAAACACCCAACAAATGTTTAATACTGTTTTGAACATTCAACTTCTGGGGTTCTTGAAATATTTATGCATATTTCAGGCACAGCCCTTTGTAGGTACAATACTGCCACTCTCAAAAATGACACCCAAATTAGTAAACTAAACAAAATTAATGTCTAGATAATATTAAATTCCTAGAAAGCTATAGATGTCATAATAAGAAAAAACTTGAAGACTTTCTTCTGAATAAAACGGGAAAAGGGGGGTTATTGTAGAATAAACAAGAAAAACAAAAAACAAACACAGCCACAATGGATCTCTCAGGCGCCAATGAGTAAACGATATAAAATGCCCCGAAGGCAAAAAATCTTTTAAAGTTAATGCTTAAAAGTAGCATGTATGAGCTAAAACCACACAAGACTCTCTAAATGGTAGCTACTCGGTTAACAGCTACATAATATTGTCTGAAAGGTTCTTCAGCCTGTTTGCAGTTATTTAATAATAATAATAATAATAATAATAATAATTTATTTATAGACTGTCCTCTCTCCCAAAGGGCAGTTTACACACAAGAAAGGCAAACATTCAATGCCCAACTCAAATACAAACATTTAAAAATAAACATAATAATACAAAAATAATAACCCTAAATGTATTTAAACCCCAATTCTTCTTTCTGTGTTATAGTGTTAGTCCAACCACTTCTTTACCCTAAAACCTTGAAAACCTAAGGAGACAAAAGTGCTCAACTAGAGTAGAGAGATCTATGATGGCTTTAATGTAAGAAGTAGCGTTGTAAACAGAAATCTCCATGGTAATTAATTATGGAATCATTATTGAATCATCACCTTTGCAAGCTTGGAACATACACAATAAAAAGTACCTTAGGGCTGAAGTCCAATTCTTCCTCTTCTGAAGATTGCCATGTGTCATCATACATTTGTCCTGTATCTCTTAAAATGAACAGAAAAGATAAGAATTAATCTCTTTTCTGGTTTTTGTGAACCTTCCTGTTGTTTCCGACTTGTGACAACAACATTATGGGGTTTTTTTGGCAAGATCTGTTCAGAGGAAGTTTTACTTCCTCTGAGGTTAAGAGTGACTTGCCCAAGATCATCCAGTGGGTTTCAACGGCCAAGCAGGGATTTGAATTCTGATCTCTAATGCTCAAATCACTACACCATATTCTAGCAGAGCAGCAGTCTAGAATGCAGATTAACAAAAATGCCAGCCGTACCTTACTGAGTCTCCAGAAGAATGGTCGTCTATAACTGTGTTCAGTATACATGAAAAAGAGAAAGCAAAATTGAGATAATGTTAAACAAGCAAACAATAATTGCAAGTACTGTTCAATGTTTAAACTGCAGGTCTTTTTTAGGCCAAAGTACTATTTCATAAATTCAGTAAAAGTGGAAATACTGTACTTCTTCTACTCTAACACACACATCAATTTCAATACCACCAACAGAAACAAACTTAAACATCCATGATTCTAAGATACACCCATTTTTAGAGATGTTGGGGGGGGGGCACATCTTAGAATAGAAAAAATACTGTACATTTTTTTCTAAAAGATTTTAAACACCTGCTTCATGTGCTTATGTATAATAATAATAATAATAATAATAATAATAATTGTAGACCGCCCTATCTCCCCGAAGGGACTCAGAGTGGTTTCCAACATATAAGGTAAACATTCAAAATGTATATAATTAGTAGCTGTACAAAATTAAGTAAGCTTAATGGTAAAATGCATATCAGTTTTCATTGTGTACAATATGGTGAGAAAGTACCACCATTTAGAAAATAGAACATAAATTCATGCTCAATAGCTCCACAATTAAATATTATACTCATGGGTATGTGTATCAACCTTACTACCAGAAACATAAAAAAGACAGGGATTTGTAAGAAATCACAACAGAGAAAGCACTAGAGGTGCATCTGCATTTTGTAGTTTGACACCACTTTGTCATGTCTCAGTTTTATGGAAAAAAGGAGAAGCAGTTTGACAAGATTTTAAACTTCCCTGCGAAGTATTTCTGGGTCCTTGTTGTAGTATAATTCTCATTAATCTATAACACTGAGTCATGGCTGTTACAATGATGTCAGACTGTATTAATTCTATCAATACTGTTTTTCCTCTCAAAATTGGTTGCTGTAAAAATCTGCTATACTTTGAAGGAGACCTTTTTGGTTGAAATTGATATTATATTATTATAAATGTCTTGAGTATATTGTTCAATGTGTTTTATATACATTACTCAATTCATACAAACCAACTTGTTTTGGATTTTAGAATTTTTACATAGTAGTTGAGAAAATGAAGTGGAACTACATACTACACACACATTTAAAAAAGCAGTACCACACACTCAAGCAGGTTGTCTGAATTCAAAACAACTAATATTCACTAAGCAAACAGATTTGACTCTTTGAGACAATTATACCTTCCCCTGAAACTCCTGCTGCCTGGTTGAATGTCTCCTGCCCTTTTCTATCTATTCAAGACAAGGCAGGAAGGGGACAGATGAAAAAGTAAATTCAGAAAATGTTTACAGATATGAGAATGTATGAGCAAGTAAGAAGTTACTCTATGTCATGACTACAATGAAAAGAAAAACAAATATCAACAAAAATATCAAATATTCATTCAAAAGGTAAATCATTCATTATTGTGATTCATTGTTGTGATTCTTCTCCCCCCCCTCCCCCCCCCCAAATTCTGGAATATTTAGGACTTTCAGGATAGAAAGGTTAAACATAGTATGAAAAATCTGTATTTTGCTTTATATTTGGGTGTCACTGTATCTGCAGACAAGAAAGAATTGTTTCTTCGGGAAAATAGGATATTAACTCTGGGGAAAAAACACAGCCATTCCATCTAGAATATGACTTGCCTAAAAATCATCTAGAGCGATCAATTCTACCAAACTGAATGCAGCTTACACAGAGATATGTGCACAGAGGATTACACTATCAGGGTAAGTCAGGTTGCATTGACACTGTAGAATGCAGTTTGATGCAATTATGGAAAGTATGGAATCATGGGAGTTGTAGCTTTACAAGGGCTTTATCTTCCTCTTACCAAGAGTGCCGGTGCCCCACCAAACTACAAATCCAGGGTTACCATCACATTGAGCCATGGGAGATAAAGTGGTGACAAACTGCATTAATTCTGTAATGCAGATGTACTCACAGAGAATGTGGTTGGCTATAATCTTACTGACACTTACAGTCTTACACTGTCAGTTCTACTATAGTACAGAATCTCCTGAAGTAATTATTAAATCACTGTTAATAATATTAGTACTAATATAAATTGAGCTTAAGGCATCTTATATGCTCTTCTGAATTGTAATAATGTGGAAAGGAATTCAAACCAAGGAAAAGCATAACCCTCTAAAGAAAAAGAAAACTGGATTTAACCAATAATTTAATTGGCCAAAGAAGATTTAGACACAAAATATAGGAAGAAAATTGAAAATATTCAGCTTAGGTTTTTCCTGCTTACTAAAGGTGTGCATTTTTTTAATAGTTCTCATAACTTGTAACAAATTTGTTAAATTCGTACTTACGGGGCAATATCCAACATGTGGGCGTGGCCCGCGCCAAAAACTTAAGAATCGAAACTTACCTAATACTTTTTCATTTGCATTTTATAAATCTCGGAAGGCTCCCAAAGTAAATTTTATTTTCAGTACAAGGAAGCAAAGCATAGCCAAAAAGACTGCCTTTCCTTTTTAAACTAACGGGTTGTTGCCATTAGGAGAGAGAAAGCAGGGAGCAGTGTCCGCTGGGAAAGAAAGCACAGTGCTCTGGGAAATGTAGTTTGGGAAGGCGAGGAGCCCTATGGCAGAGGATGCATTTCCCAGAATTCTGTTTGCATGAAAAAGCCCCAATCAGGAGAAGGGAAGAGATCTGTCATTCGGTAGCAGAAGCCAACCAGGGTTCCAATAAATTGCTGAATCTGCAAAGTGGAGGGCTGAATGATACTTCAATACAAATAAGTAAATCAGTGCTGGGAAGAAATTCCCAAATGGATGGGCATTAGAGGTCCCTTACAACTCAATAAAGGAAGCATAGGAGAGTTTTTGATGATGCCCTTCTGCCTTGAAAAAGGGACTAGATGGCCCTTGGGGGTCCCCTCCAATTCTAGGATTCTATGAAAATGTAGAATTGATTAATTAATTTATTTTCATGTCAGGAGCAACTGGTGGAACTGCAACCTGCTTCTGGTATGAGAGAATTAGCCATCTGCAAGGATGTTGCTTAGGGGATGCCCGGATTTTCACTAACTATACTTTAGATACACTTTAGAAATGAAATGCTAGCACCCACTAATTTTGTAATGACTTTTGAAACATTTTTTATCGGTTGCACATGACTACTTGCAACTACTTTGATAATATATTATTTTCAGTACTGTAAATGAAGAATCAATTTTCTTGCTCAGTATAAAAATCCATATAACACCAGGCACCCGAGTTTTACTGGCATCTCCTATTTAAGGGTGACTCCAGAGACATCAAAAGACAAAAACCAAAGAGGGCTGTACTGCAGAAATTAGAGCAAAGCTGCCAGATTTATATCTCCCATGCTTTCTTTTTTAAATCTACCTATAAGAACCTGCACAGCTCCAACCATTCCTATCAAATTGGATGCTGTACCTCTGTAGGACAGAGCTGCCAAGTGGGTTGAAGAATTACAATGTGTGTCCTACTTCTGCCACAAGTTTCTGGCTTGCAATCAATATAAAACTGTTCACTTAATTTAGAGGGAAGTGACAAATTCTAATGACATACAACTCTGTTTCTCCTTCGGTTTATTTTATATATTTACCTATTTATTTAATTTATATCCTGTCAGTCTTTTAGAAATAGGACTCAAATCGAGGTCAGGCAATAACAATAAATTATTGGCCAGGTGCAGTAATGAAAGCTAATGAAGCGAAGGCATTTTGTAGTCACTGTTAGGAGACAGTTTTTCTACCCTGATGAGCAGAATACAAATTGTTCTAGATGGAACTGCACTCTTTCAGAAGATTAAATGCAAACTGAGTGGGGCTGGTTGCTTTAATTTTGATTTATGCATGTAAGGAATTGAATTTTGCAATTATTTTTTTGTAAACTGCTTTGAGTCTTCCCAGGGGTGAGAAAAGCGGTATATAAATACTGTAAATAAATAAATAACATTTTGTCACTGCCATAGAGTTTAGCGGCATAAAAGTAGAAAAATCATTTTAAAAATTCCGAGAAAATGGATGCTGTTTGACACCTTGTTAACTGCCTGGCTCAATGATCCAGAATAATGGGAGCTGTAGTTTTACAAGGTTTTTAGCTTTCTCTGTCAAATGATACTGATGTCTCACCGAACTACAACTCCCCTAATTCCACAACAATGAGTCATGGCAGTTAAAGTGATGTACATCTGCATTATTAAAAAGAATAGGAATCGCTAGATCCCACACAGTGACTGTATGCACAACTTCTGCCAGACGGTAGGTAAATGTAAAGTGATGCAAACTGATTAAAAAAAAATCTAACAGACCATCTACACTGATAAGATCTTAACAAGCACTGAGTAGCTACAAAAACAGATTTTTAAAATCCCTTTGATATTATGAAAATGTTGACCCAATGTAGAAAAGTTGTGAAAAATCAATTCCATCCTAGGTACGTCACTCCTCCACAACTGCTGTTTTGACATCTGCGGACCCAATTCTTTGTGGTTTTGTCATTGCCTGGCTGATTTCCTCCTGCTTCCTAAAATAGAAGTGGTGATTGGCTTATGTCCTTAACCCATAGAGATAGAAATGTAGACTGAACAAAGCGCAGCCCACTCTCCACATCCTTGGCTTGGTCTACAGTACTTCTTATATCTATGAGCTAAGGAGCAAGAGCAGTGCACTGCCACTGACCCACTTTCTGAAGCTTGAAGCCATTGTGAGGTATGCAAGATTTGACCCAGCATGAAAAAATGAATACAGAGCCGAACATGGGAAGAGCTAATGAAGCTAAATGTTAGAAGTCAGAAAAAACAAATGGAACTATTTTTTTCACAGAATAAAATAATTTAGGTATAAACTCCCAAGATGATGTAATGCCCACTTCCTAAATGGTTAAAGGAGGATGAGACAAATTGATTTGAAAGATGCCTCTCAACCCCCTTTTACACTGTCCTTATATCCCAGGATCTGTTCCCAGGTTATCTGCTTTGAACTGGATTATATGAGTCTCCACTACCAGATAACATGAGATAAGCAGATAATCTGGGATCAGATCCCAGAATACAGGGCAACCAAGGCCACTTCCACACAACTGTATAAAATCCACATTGAACTGGATTATATGGTAGTGTGGACTCAGATAATCCAGTTCAAAGCAGATATTGTGGATTATCTGCCTTAATATACTGGATTATATGGCTGAGTGGAAGGGCTCAAAAGGGGCCTCAGTGGCTACCAAATGCTACCAATCACAATAGCTACACAAACTCTGGTTTCAGTTACACTGAAACACCACCCTGAGTTGCCTCTGGGCTGAAAAGGGCAGGATAAAAGTGTAGTAAATAATAAAAAAACAAGTAGTAAATTACACTTTCCCCTAAAGACAACATATCAGGGACAACAGAAATAAAAGTACAAATTGTGTGCTTTCTACCACCATGGAAAAAGAAAAGACAGTGGATCATATAATTTTTGGTCTAAATCAGTAGAGCGTGTCTTATTTTCTTTAAAATAAACCTGTACCTTCTCTATTAGTAGCAGGAGCACCCAGGGTTATAGCAGCATTTTTCATTTTGCCTGAACCGCTCAATATAGACAGAACATTTGGCTCATCAAGAGACTCCTCTTCTTTATCTCTCTGCCTGGAATAGTCAGCGATATATTGAAGAAGACTAAAAGGAAAGAGATAAAACAGTATATAACATTGTAACAAGACAAAAAGTTTTTTTAAAAGAATACAACCTGAAGGAAACATTAAGTTGCACCGTAAGAGCGAAGACCTTTTCCAAGAATCTATGGAGATCTATTCTCAAATGCCAACTGATCAATGTTTGTATTCTTTTCCTTAGTCAGAAATCATGACACTCAAATTATTTGTTTCTTGCTTGGGGACATGCAAGGACACGATTTCTGAGAACTTCTAACACCGTTTCAGAATTTAAATCAATAGCTAATTATAAATATAGGTAAAGGTTTCACTTGACATTAAGTTGAGTTTTGTATGACTCTGGGGGGTGGTGCTCATCTCCATTTCTAAGCTGAAAAGCCAGAGTTATCCATAGACACCTCCAAGGTCATGTAGCCAGCATGACTGCATGCAGCATCATTACCTTCCCAAAGAAGCAGTACCTATTGATCTACTCACATTTGCATGTTTTTGAACTGCTAGGTTGGCAGAAAATATAATTATAAATATACATTTTGAAAACTTTAGAAATAAAAGCTTACATAGGATCATCACTAAGCAGAGCATAATCCCGTGCTGACCATCCGCTTTCATCTTTATGGGAAACATCTGACCCATGAAAGAGGAGAATATTTGTTAAATCACGTTTTTTATTAGTCGTAGCAATCAACAACGGAGTTCTGAAATAGAAATAGAGAAAAAATAATTTTTGATCTGTTCATTTAGCCTAGAACACTCACGACTACTGCTTTAATACCTTGGAGTTTAAATACCATTGTTTACTATGACAAAAATGAAAACAAATCACACTTTGGTAAAGTTCTGATATAGGTGGTATAAGCATGACTATTTCAATAAGGTTAGCTTTCAAGAATTGGCTATTTGCTCTTCTATTTCACACAAAACCACCTAGAGTCTGGATTTAAGAAGTAACCAAGACTGTTAATGAATGCAACCTTCTACAAATCAAAACATTTCTTTGTTGTTGTTGTTGTTGTTCAATCAAGAAGAACATTGTTGCTCTTTTGTTGATCTCAGCTGTTCTATAAGCAACAAATACACATTCTGAATTGAAAGCTCCCATCATTCATGACTATGATGGCAGACTAAAACGTTATTGTCCTTAGGAATGAACCTCAACACATTACTTAAGAAACAGCCTGAAATTTCTGAGAGAAGGAAAAAGTAAATGAATCCAACTGTACCTTCCTGACTTATCAGTGGCATGCACAGATGCTCCTTTTTTAAGAAGAAACTCTACCATTTCTCGATTATTTTCAGTTACAGCCACAATCAAAGGTGTGTTCCCATCCTGTAAGAATAGAAATAAATTAAAGGACATTTTCCTAATGCTTATTTAAAGAATAAAATAAAGATTAATATACTAAAATGTGTATTTTTAGGGATAAAACCAGTGACACATTCTATTGTCCCGTTGTTTTCTTGGAGATCAAGAATTATTTATAACCTAAACGTATCAAAATTAAAAGAAGAGTTACTCAGAATCTTAAAATCGCTAATAAGGAACACAAGCAACACCAAGGCCATTTCATATAAAGTAGATTTCAGATCTCATATAGTATGTTCTGTGTGTCAATAAAAATGTATTGTTTTATAAATGCTCATACTGTTATTTATTTATTTATTTATTTTGTGTCAAAAACATTGTATAAATAAGTATAAAAATGATAAAATAGAGGGAGCATAAGCGGCCAATAATTTTAGACCAAAAACAGGTGTCAGCAACCACATTATCTGTAGATCTAAACAGTTCTTCCTCTGTGTGTGAGGCAGGGCATTGTGAGCAAGAATACATACGGTGAGTTGTTTGTTCTGCTCCACAGTCTCACAAGGTGGAGGATTCTTCTAGGTAGTTTTTTAAAAATACTTTTACTATAAATTAAAGAGATGTATCAAATCTACTGGTAGAACCAACATATTTTATAAATGAAAAATGACATGTGGTTGAGTCTCATCTATGGTCAGCAGTGGGACACAGGAAGCGGGGGGGGGGGGGGGTGGAAGCAGAGAGACAGAGTGAAAGCAGGGAATTTACCACATGGCAATGGGCATATATTTTAATGTATGACTTTTGCATTATCATTTAAATGTGATCATGACTAGTGCATCCAGTAATAGCTTTTCTTCCTGAACTTTTTCAACTTCCAAAAGAACAAAGCTGTTGTAGCCTACTTTTCTGGCATTAAAATAGTGTGTCTTACCTTATTCTGTGCTTCAACATTGGCTTTATGTTCAAGGAGATGTTTTGCTATTGATATGCTAGAATTAAAGGCAGCAAAGTGGAGGGCAGTGTTATTGTATGCATCCACAAGATTAGGATCTGCTCCATGCTCAAGCAGGTAAATTGCACATAATTCTTGCTGGCACTGCACAGCCTATAACATTTAAGAAGAGGAAGTTAGCCCAAAATTATATCAATTCATTCAAACAAAGCATGCTTTTTATTTATTCTGTATCAAAAGCATTGCATAAATTAGTGTGAAACTGATAAAAATAAAAGGAGCATAAGCGGCTAAATATCTTTTGACCAAAAACGGGCAACAGTGACTGCATTGTCTGTAGCCTCAAACAATTCTTCCTCTGTACATGAGGCAGGACACTGCGGACAAGCATACAGATGTGGAAATGTCTGTTCTGCTCCACAGTTGCACAAGGTGGAGGATTCTTTTAGATAATGCCATTTTAACAGATTGTCTTTTGATCTGCCCACTCCACTTCTGAGTCTGTTCAGGGACTTCCAAGTTGCCCATTCTTGGTTTGCTCAAGACGCTGAAAGAGCCTCCTCGAAGACTGAGTAAATACAGTTGGGCATCCCCTAGGCAACATTTCTTATAAACCCAAAAGCAAACCCAAAAAGCAGTGCTTTTAAACATTTTAAATTCATGCTGCCACAGGATAATGTATTAATACTGTGTGTCTTCAAGTCATTTCCAACTTCTAGTTAGACAGGATTTTTTTTGGGGGGGGGGGCACTGCCTTTCTCTGAGGCTGAGAGAGTATGTACTGCTCAAAGTCATCCAGTGATTTCCATCGTTGAATAGACTCAAACACACAAAACAATTTCATATAAGAATTAAAACACTTGATTATAACCTGTGACTTATTCTGCTGATAGGACTTGCATTAAGTTGATACTTTCATTCACATGTCATATTTGGAAAGTTGCAGTATTACGTCTCATACATACCTTCATTAATGGAGATCGCTTATCACTGTCGTAGAGATCTAGCTGGCCTTTGTTGTCTACTAAGAAAGTAACAACATCTATACATCCATTGGCGCAAGCAAAATGCAAAGGTGTTCTGAAAAGAATGAAATGAGATTCAATCACTATCAGAGAATAATATTGCTATTATTTTATTTAGGGTTATTTGACTCTCTGTCAGTACAAACTTGGGTTCTCCAATTTTATCCTAAGATACCCCAAAGGCCTTTGATCCATGCCTCCTACCACAGGAACTGGAGGAGAAGTTACACTGGCCCTTGCAGGACCCCTCAAGGAACACATGAGTATGGAGCTATGGTGGTGATTGAAGCATTAATGGGATGGAGCAGAAAACATATTTCACCTTCACACTTATAAGGCTCAGCTCTTCTGACTGAAAGACGCCCCCACCCCCTGTAATCTTGACAGCAGTCCAAAGCGGCATTTGGCTTTCTTGATCAGGATCAAAGCCGTAGCATGGATTTAGCTTCCCTGCAGAGAAACTGTCCTTTCTGTAGCCCAGCTGATGGTTGATCACCTGGAGAAGGGATTCTCTGAATCACAGGCTGAGAGCTGCATGGCACGATATGGTCCCTGAGTTTGTCACATGTTCTAATGACTTTTAGTTTAACTTTTTTTTTCAGTCCATTTCCCATTGCAGTTGTACTTGACCCTAAAGTACATCAAATGGTCTTCCATTCAGTTCTACCTTTTCACCCAGAAAGAAAAAATAAAGGCATTTTCAAGCATTTATTTATTTACCATACTTGTACTCCACTCTTCTCACCCCTAAGGGGACTCAGGGCGGCCAATATTGCACAGTGCTGGACCCCTGTGCTACATTGGTACTGGAATAATGTAGCACAGTGCCAGATTTGGACTGAAAGCCTGTGTCATTGCTCCCCTGTGTATCTTTTGGACTCACTAATATTTCCCAGTTTAACTTGCCTCACAGAACAAGAGCAAGGACCTGTGTGTGTGCCTTCAAGTTGCTTATCAACTTATGCCAACCACGTGGATTTCACTGAGTTTCCTTAGGAAAGGAATACTTAGATGAGGTTTAGTCAGTTTCTTCCTCTGAAAGATAGTCTACAGCATCTTGTATTTGGTGATAGTCTTTCATCCAAAGGCTGGCTCTGCTTAGCTTCAAATACAATATGGGATATGGTATTTTAAGTTGTTTAACCGATTCAGAGTTAGGACGCCAAGGGATAATCACTGACCTAATCATACTCTGATGCAGACATATAACCACCTTGTTCAAGCGTCATATCCCTTTGAGGACAGTGATGCCCAATCTTTGGTCCTGGTGTTTTTGGGCTTCAGGTCACAGACTCTTTGCTCTTTGGCCAAAATCAATGAGACTACTGGGAGCTGAAGTCCAAAAAACTCTGAAGGATCAAAAGTTTGAGAATCACAATTTAAATATTTGGATAATATTGAAAAGTATAGAAAATGCCTATAACACCAACCTCCCTCCAACACTTGCGTTCAATTGCTAATGGCAACAAGGTCAATTTGAACTGAGCTTAGCAAAATATATTATTTAATTGACGAGTCTCCACAATAATTGTAATTGGTTTAAAAAAATTTCAATGCTTAATGTTCATTTATATCTTATTTTTGGATGTTATTATGCTTTGTGTGATTTTTGTCTTGTATTTTATGTTAAATGCGCTTGAATTTGTATTGTATTATGTTGTGAGCCGCTTTGGGTCCTGTTAGGGAAAAAAGCAGGATGTAAAAAAAGAATTATTATTATTATTATTCTATGGCAGTTTAGAAGGGGCCTTAGGACACATCTACATTGGTGCTTCTCAAATTTTGGTCTTCCAGGACTTCAGCTCCCAGAATTCCTGACTGCTGACCAAGCTGATATTTTATGTCAAATGTCCTTTGATTTGTATTAATTATGTTGTGAGCCATTTTGGGTCCCATTTGGGAGAAAAGCAGGATATAAATAAAGAATTATTATTATTATTATTTGTTACATAACAAGATTAATACACAGCAAACAAGATCACTATGCTGGCTTTTGTATTTGATCACACATTGGACACTTCCCAAGTGTCTAGGACTGTGTGATGTATCGGTGAATAATGTGTGCAAATCCGAGTAGGGTGGCCTTTTGCAGCCGACAGATGACAGATTTGTCCGCGCCGATTTTTTTTAAGTCCAAGGTCTTTAGGCACTGCACCAAGTATGCCAATCACTACTGGGACCACCTTTACTGGCTTGTGCCAGAGTCTTTGCAGTTTGATCTTTAAATCTTAAGCTTTTCCAGTTGCTTATCAAAGGACATTTAATCAACTGCCAAGCTTACAAACTTTGTGTTTTGTCTGTTTGTTTGTTTTGTTAAAAATGTAATACAAATGTCTGCTTGCTCCTGACATGATAAATTATTATTATTATTATTATTATTATTATTATTATTATTACTATATGTCAGTGTAGAAGGGGCCTTAGGATGCATCTACATCAGTGTTTCCCAAACTTTGGTTTTCCAGGACTCCAGCTCCCAGAATTCCTGACTGCTGAGTAAGATGACTGAGGCTTCTGAAACATTCACACCTACCCAACAGACAAAAGTTCTTTCTCCCACCCTGGACATTCCAGATATATAAACCCAATTTTCCTAGTTTCCAACAGACCTCACAACCTCTGAGGATGCCTGCCATAGATGCAGGCGAAACGTCAGGAGAGAATGCTTCTGGAACATGGCCATACAGCCCGAAAAACTTATAGCATCCCTTTTGGGATTTGCAATCCAAAACAGCTTGAGAACCAAGGTTTGAGAAACATAGAAATCTAGTGTATTTTGATCCCACTTTAATTGGCATGACTCAAGGCTGGGAGACATGGGAAATGTAGTTCGGTGAGGCAGCAGCACTCCTTGGCAAAGAAAGCACAAGAACCCCCAGAATTCCATAGCCCTGAGCCATAGCGGTGCCAGATTGCAATAATCCTACAGTGTGGATGCATCTTTCCCTGCTCCCAGCCTCACCTGTCACTCTTGTCCCTCTCGTTGGGGTCGTGCTGCTTTTGCAGGAGCTGCCGCACTTCAGCCAGGTCTCCTTCGGCGGCTGCCCGGTGCAGCCTGGGCAGCTCTTTGCTCCGGACCTTATAGGCGCCTCCCGCGAGGCCCAGACCCGAGCCCGCCCCCGCCTGGCCCAGAGGAAAGGGCTCCGGCGGCTCCCTCCGTTTCCTCCCCAGCCCCAGCATCTTCTTCATCTTCTTCATCCTCCCCTCCTCTTCTTTCTCCCTCAGCCAGGGGCGAAAGTGTCCCTCCTGCCAGGGGAGGGTGGCATGGGCCCGAGGGAAGGAGGAAGGAGAGGCTCCGCTCCCTCCGGCGCCGGGGATCCTGGAAAAGGCGGGAGGGGCGCGCGCACTTGGCTCCAAGGCAACGGCTTCCCCCAAAGAGGTACCACGCATGCGCCCTCAAGCAACTCCTGGCACCCCCTGCTGTTAGGAAGGAGGCTTGATTCAAAAGGCACATGCGCACTCCTTTTTTTGGCTCTTCCCAAAGGAGTACTACGCATGCGCCTTCAAACAACTCCTGGCCGCTCTATTGCCCTGGAAAAGGCTTAGACTCAGAGAGCGCATGCGTAATTCTCTTCTCCAAAGCAACTCCAGGCACCGCTATTGCCCTGAAGGAGGTTTAGATTCAGAGGGCGCATGCGCAATTCTCTTCAGCGCTCTCTCCCTTCTCCAAAGCAACTCCTGGCACCGCTATTGCCATGAAGGAGGCTAGACTCAGAGAGCGCATGCGCAGTTCTCTTCCCCTTCTCCAAAGCAACTCCTGGCACCGCTATTGCCCTGAAGGAAGCTCAAACTTAGAGGGCGCATGCGCAGTCCTCTTCGGAGGTCTCCCCGTTCTCCCAAAGGACTACTACGCATGCGCCGTCAAGCAACTCCTGGCACCGCTACTTCCATAAAGGAGCGCAAAATCGCTGCCAGCCAGAATTGGCAAAAACAGACCAGGGATCTGACTCAAGCTGTTGTGCGGAGGTGGACACTGAAATCCAAGAAGAAAATGAAATCTATGGGCTCTTCCAAACAGCCCTATATCTCAGAATTTCAAAGCAGAAAATCCCAGCATATCTGCTTTGAACTGTGAGTCTACACTCAGATAATGTGGGATTTTCTGCCTTGATACTCTGGGATATAGGCCTGTGTGGAAGGGCCCTATGTGTCATGATCCCAAAATATCTTTCAGGACCTCTATAGTTCATTCATCTTTCTAGGGGCTCTTCCAGACAGGGCCTATATCCCAGGATCTGATGCCAGGTTATTGTTTTAAACTTGATTGCACGAGTGTCCGCACTGCCAGGTAATCTGGGATAAACAAAAAACCTGGGATCAGATACACATCTGAATAAAATTGCACGTTTTCTGCTTTGAACTGGAATATATGCCAGTGTGGACTCAGATAACCCAGTTGAAAGCAGACATTGTGGGATTTTCTGCCTTGATATTTTGGGATATAGGGCTGTATGGAAGGGCCCTAGGAGTTAAGACATTGCAGGTTTCTGTGTGACTACTTCAAATACCAAACATATCCTCTCAAATAAAATAAAATGTGTTTAATGTGCTTGGATAGAATGTGCATTCTAATATCAAATGTGTATTTCAACATTGTAAACAAACTACAGCTACTTCAATGTACTCGTCATTGTTGACATCCATTGCACTTTCATTTGATAAATGAATTTCCATGCTTCTGGACATGGGAATACAAATACAAATCAACATTAAAGTTATTGCAGATTACTGTTCTGACCACCAGAAAAGCATTTATCCTACATGTGTTATCTCTTATCGTGGTTATTCCCCTACGTTTACAAGGACAATGATCTTATCCTTTCAACACAAATCTATTAGCAAATTAGGCTTTTGAAAAAATATTTATTTAATTTAAAAATGTAAGAACAAAGAAAACAAAGGGGAAAAGATTAACAAGAGAGAAAGGTATACAGAATGTGAATATTTTTTTATTTTTTACTATATTAATAAAAATACATAAACTTACAAAAAACCAGTAATATAAAAACATGATAATAATAACTTTATTTATATTTATTTTATTCACAACATTTATATGCCGCCCTTCTCACCCTGAAGGGGACTCAGAGCAGCTTACAAGTAAAAAGTAAATACAATATATTATATTATTAACATAGCAGAATATTAATATTATATATTACATTGTACTATAACATTATACTGCGATATTATTAGTAATATTACATTTAATGTAAATATATAATTATAACGTCATATTAGTATATTGTATTACATTATAATATTATCAATATTATATATATATATGTATATATATATATATATACACACACACACACAAAATATATTATATAGTGCAGGAGTCAAGATGGAACTGCCTTCCTGGCCCCTCCATTCTGATCTCAGAGCAGCGTTTGGTGCTGGAGAGGCGGAGGGGGGCTCCCAACTGATGACAATGGAGGCTATATATATATATATATATATATATATATATATATATATACACACACACACACACACACACACATACACACATACACACACACACACACACATACAACATATACATACACACACACACTAGCCGTCCCCTGCCACACGTTGCTGTGGCTCGGTTTGTATATATGTGTTTTGTGTGTGTATGTGTGTATATATTTGTGTATATGTGTATATATGTGTGTTTGCATATATATACGTGGTTTTGCACATGCTTTGTCATGTATTTGTTTTAATTTTTGGCTTTTAAAGTCCCTTCCACTGTGTTTTTCAGTGTTTTTATGAGTGATGGTCACTTGTTGGCCTGATAGGCGTATGGTATCTGAATTTGGTGTCAGTCCGTCCAGTGGTTTTTGAGTTATGTTAATCCCACAAACAACATTACATTTTTATTTATATAGATATAGATATCTATCCCACCTCCATCTCCCAGAAGGGACTGGGGGCGGTTTACAGAACAGCACATAATAGTGACATAAAAACACATAAAATACATAAACATTTATAACAATAGCAATACCAGTTAACATAAGACAACATTTATAAAAAAATAAGAAAAACCACTACTCAATTTAAATAAAATAATCAATAAAAACTCAGCAATAGCTACTAATTAAAATAGGCAGTACAACCACGTTGAACCCCCAGTCACAAAACAAGTTAAGAGTAACATTAAAGTTGCAAAGTCAATATAAATTTGTTTGGTCATCGAATTAAGTTGGTCTCTTAGCCATTATCAATGGCCTGCTTGAAAAGCCATGTTTTCAACTCCCTCCAGAAACACTGAAATGTGGGGGCTTGTCTAATTTTCCTGGGGAGGATGTTCCAAAGCAGTGGGGTGGGGGTGGGGGTGGGGCACCACTGAGAATCCTGGACATTTAACCTCTGGTTCTATTCACAGTCACCACAGTAGGATTTGCTTTTTGGTCCATAATATATAGGTACATACTGTAAATAATTCACATACATATATACACACATTAGGAAGAGTAAAAAGTTCAGACTGAGAATGTCAGTTCAATTGTGACTTATTCCCACAGTGATTTATATGCCACTTAATCTGCTCTTAAGATCTTAGATTGGAGCTTAAATCACAGAACTTTTACCCAGGGTTTTACCTTGAGGTGAAGGAGAGCACAGAGCCCTCTCTGCTTTTGATCTTGTTAGGGCTACACATGAAGGTAGCCTAAAAATAGTGTCTTTAATTAACTGTCTATTTATATACTGTGAATCTCTCCTTCTTGCAAAGGGTACACACTTTTACATTGGCTCTGTTTTCCATCTAATATGCAATGTATCTGATGGCTTATCTATGGTGTATAAGATCCCAAATTTTAGTGACTTCTTCCTTTTTCTGGATGCCTCTATACCTTTTCCAGGGTGGGAGGGTACTTCACTGTATCAGCCAATGTTTATGTACTGAGATATACACACACACCTTCTTGAAACAAACCAAACTGGAGAAGGAAACATCATCTGACACAGGTTTGATATGGGACATTTTTACTACTCCAAGATATGAGGATATTTTACAGTATTTCTTTAAAAATCGTTCTCTAGTATCAGATTTTATGACACAGAAATGTACAGACATTATAGGCATTATAGGTCTTTTCTGTGCTCCCATGATATTTAGTCTCTTAAAAGGACATTGCTATATGACTCTGATATTTAGTGGAGGAAATTGTATTTCCCATGTTTCGGCATATACATAAATTGTAATAGCATAATATATTGGGATACAACATATATCATGAAAACCTTTAAATATATATATATATATATATATATATATATATATATATATATATGATTTGTAAGATAATAAAATATTTCTAAGATGTTTGTCATTTCTTGTTATATCCATGCAACATGCCTATTGCCTACACACTGCAACCAACACAGTTTTAGACTCTGCTCTGAAATGTGTTGCAACACAGAGTTTGGAAAGCTGTTTTAAAACTTAACTGACGATAGATCTCTACCAAGCTTGACACACATATTCAACATGACGAACTTTACGTACTGGTGAGGTTTGGAGGGAATAAGAGGGAATTGACCTTGGATATTGGGAATTACCGTTTACCCACATCCAGAGAGTACTGAACCCAACTAGCAATGAATCTGGCTCACACTTGGCACACAGACCCATCATGACCAACTTTGAATACTGGTGGGGTTTGGGGGGAATTGATCTACAATTTGGCAGTTGTCGTTCACCCACATCCTTATGCATTTTTAATGGGATAAAGGAAACAACATCTATTTTTTTTATAAAAGCATTACAAAATATCTAACCTAGGCATCACTGGGTACCTAATATAATATGACTTTGTTATTTTTTCCTATATATAAAGAGTTTTGAGATACATGAACTGAACAGATTAGAGTTACAGTTAGAGTTCCACATTTGCATGTTTAACTTTTATGGATTTGATTATTTGTGGAGCTGATTAATATGTTATTTCTAGGAATTCTACATCTTCATCATGACTGGAAGTTGACTGTAGAATAGAAAGTTAAATAGAAAGTTAAAATAGCTTTCTATTTTTAATGGAAATTTTACATTTCTAATCCCCACAAAAAGTATGGGAGTATGGGGGGGGGGGGGGACTACTGTATACTCTGCAGAAAGATTTACTGGTTTGCAATAGATCTGTTTTGTACCACTTGACAAGACAAGTCACTTGTATGTTCAGCATTAGAACTATCAAGATTCATCAGTTTATGTATTAAAAGAAAATGAATATAGTGCAGCCCTGATTTACCTTTGAGAATATCAATGGAGCTGAAAATTGCCAAATGTTTTCATGGTAAGAAGCCAAAACTTCATAACATCTTGAGAATCCAATGAAACAATTATCAAAATCATCCTTTCCC